CATGGGCTCAGGAAAAAAAATTGCTCTGCTCCTTTTAGTGATGGCATTATGTCACTAGATGGCCTCCCTTATCTCTCCAGATCAGGCAGCTCATTTGCAGCCTCTTTTTCTCCGAAGTTAACCAGCCTGATTTCTGACATCTTAAAAGGAAATCAAGTGAAATGCAAGACTGTGCCACTGAGCCAGATTTTACTTGTAAATTAACTGGCTGTGGGAAGAAAGGTAAAGTGAGAAAGTCATTTTTCCTAATGAGTAACAGGTTTCAAAACCAACAGCACATGTAATAATTTACATTCCACTTTCCGTCTTCAGGAAGGAAGGTTGGTCCATGGACAGTCAAAAATAAACAATAACTGCAAACAAGAGGGAGGTATTGAAAGACGGAGGGAAAACCCAGAGACTTGCAGAAACACAGAAGAAAAGGCTGTGAGGGAGGAGTGGGGGAAAGGTAGGAGAGAGAAGAGAGTGGAGGGAAACTGGTTCAACAGCTCCAGGAGAATAAGGTGTGATCAGGAAGCCTGGAATGTCAGTAAGCAGGAAAAAGAAGAGAAAAAGAAAAGGAATCAAGTAAAGCGTTCCAATCGATACGCATTGGACCTTTAAAAAAAACCTCTACATTTTATTTCAATTCAATCACTTCCCAAATTTCAATTGTTTCAGGGTGGTTGACATGTAATCAATTAAATCAAATGTTTATTTGTCAAACTGTTCAATTGCCAAATGCTATGACAAATAGTGTCGCAGTAGTTTTAACATTAAAAAAATGGTAATAAAACACTACAAGGGGAAATCCAGTTCATCAATGCAATTAATCCACCCTTCTCCTCCCACCCCTTTTCCCAGCTGCCGGTTTCATTTTCACTACATTCAGGATCCGTTCAATGGGAATTTCCATGAAATGCTCCAAGTGGCTCCAACTGACCATGTGCAAAGCAATGCGTATAAAAAGGATGCAATTAAAATCGCAATGATAAAGGTCTGCAGTTTGCATAGAGCTCCTTCCACCCTCCTCCCCAGGATCTCTGGTGGCTCTTGCAGTCCTTCTGTAGAGTTGAACTATTTCCTCCTTCCTGTTGACAACTAACTTAGCCAGAAGGTGGGGGGGGGAGTAAGGGAATTTCCCGGCATTTCTGCCTAGCTTGACTTCTATATCCAATCAGAGATAAGTCTATTTTTCTGCTTAAAAGCTGACCCAAAGCTGTAGCCAAATGTATTACTTCAACAAAGGATTTTCCCTTTTTCATAGGCACTGCTTGGTGCCCTCCTCCAGGGCGTTTCCAAATTAAGCTTTCATTGCACAATAGCCTTTCTCAAACACAGAATTTCACAAAGGGTTTAAATTTATTTATTTATTACTTATTTATTCTGTCTTTTTGCTGGAAGATTGTACAGAACATTCCTTCCACTTAACTTATTTTAGAGGGTCAATTGGGCTGAAAGAGAGTAACTGGTCAGAAGCCACCCGATTTTATTTTCAAGGCTCGGGGTACTTTAAATTTTCTTTCTAGTTTTTTTTCTTTCTAATCTTTCTAGTTCTGGTCCAATACCCCCACCCCAGTGGTGGGATTCCAATTTTTTTACTACCGGTTCTGTGGTCATGGATTGGTGGGTGTGGCTTGGTGGGCATGGCAGGGGAAGGTTACTGCAAAATCCCCATTTCCTCCAGATCAGCTGGGACTCGGGAGGCAGATAATAGATGGGGATGGGGCCATTCAGAGGTGGTATTTAATGGTTCTCCAAACTATTCAAAATATCCGCTACCAATTCTCCAGAACTGGTCAGAACCTGCTGAATACCACCTCTGCCCCACCCCTATCAGTATCATCTGGTGACAATGCTTGAAAATGTCTTCTGATGTTTCTCCACTTCTTTTTTTTTTTTTACTATAAAAGAGAAGAAAACTCAGAAACAAAGACGAAACAGCTACGTAAACTGGCTGGGTATCATGAAAGTTAAAATGTTGAAGACTGCGAAGGGCGGGAGAGGAGGAGGATACAGAATTTGGAAATATTTTCAGTTAATTAATGCTACATGATACAATATCCTATATTAAATTAATATAATATGTAATAAAATATTATCCCCCTATTTTATCAATTATTTATTTATTTATTTATTATTTATTAATGGAACTTGCATGCCGCCCTATCTCCAATGGACTCAGGGCAGCTCACAACAATTAAAACAAAGCAAACAAACCATTAAAACAAAAATCCAAGTTAAAATTAACAAAAATTCAATAAAGCCCAGTTAAAATTATATTAAAACCCCCATCAGTCCAGGGCGGCCAGGTGAAATAGCCACGTTTTCAGGCCACGGCGGAAAGAGCGAAGGTCGGGGGCCACCCGGAGCTCCAGAGGGAATTGATTATTAAGACAGAATAAGGTTATCCATGCAGATCTCTCATGAAGCCATCAAAACCGACAAGGGAGAATCAGCAGATATTGGGAGAACTCTGAAACCAGCAGAAAGGGCAAGGAGCAAGGGAGCAAGGTTAAGCTATTGCAGGTCCAATTTTATCGAATCACAAGGGGGGAGGGAGAAACATCATCAGTGTTTTGATGAGACTTCACACTTCTCTCAAGACTTATGGAATTATAGAAGAATTGAAAGAGAATTGCCTCTCAATTTTGAAAGTAATTTTTGATGTTAAAATTGGTTTCCTCTATTAGATTTTGGTGCCAAGTTATAAAGTATAGGATTTTGGTTGTTTTTTTACAAAACTTCTGCTTTCTCTTAAAAAGCACCCTAACTTGGTGTGTTTTTCGGAAATTACCCTTCTCCACTGGCTTCCACATGATTAAAATGAACCCAAGGGCAGGACCAAAAACTTCTCTGCTTATTTGGAAATTAGGTTAGATTCTTTGATCTCAATAAATATGAAGAGATTCCTCTTTTCCTCAGAAAGAAACCAATTAGATCCTGTGGAAACTGTCGAAAACAATATTTTACTTCTGCTGCATTAATTAAACTTTATGATGATCACTTCTGTTGATTGAGGTTTATACACTGAGGTAGGATAGGTTGAATCATGTAACAACCTAAGACAAAAATTTATTTGCTTATTGAGAATTGTCTTAATGTTATGTAAACACAGATTAAAGATTGTGTGGTTAGCTGACATGAATCACATCCCTAACGGGGTGATGCTTCTTAAGATAACCTCAAATATTTAAGTACATACTGTAAAAATAGCCAGACAGGCACAGGACTGCAGCATAAAAACTGGCCTATCACCTTTAGCCCAAATAAATCAGAGTTTGCGAAGTTCAGATATATTTCTTCTTGCTTGCTTGCTTGCCAACTACAGGTAGTCCTCGACTTACAACAGCTCATTTAGTGACCGTTCAAATTTAGAACAGCCCTGAAAAAAGCGATCGATGACTGTTTTTCACACTTACAATTATCCCCATCAGAGGTGGGTTTCAACAGGTTCTAACCAGTTGTGGAGAACCAGTAGCGGAAATTTTGAGTAGTTTGGAAAATCGGTAAATACCATCTCTGACTGCCCCCCCCCAATCTATTCTCTGCCTTCAGAGTCCCAGCTGATTGGGAGGAAACGGAGATTTTGCAGTAACCTTCCCCTGGAGTGGGGAGGGAATGGAGATTTTACAGTATCCTTCCCCTGCCACGCCCACCAAGCCACACCCACAGAACCGGTAGTAAAAAAATTTGAAACCCACCACTGATCCCCATGGTCACATGATCAAAATTCAGCCACTTGACAACTAGTTCATACTTATGACTGTTGCAGTGTCCCGAGACCCTGGGATCAGCTTTTGCGACCGGCTGACAAGCAACATCAATGGGGAAAGCAGATTCACTTAACAACCGTGTTACTAACTTAACAGCTACAGTGATTCACTTAACCACTATGGCAAGAAAGGTGGCAAAATGGGGCAAAATTCACTTTACAAACTTAGTGACATAAATTGTGGGCTCAATCGTGGCCATAAATCGAGGACTAGCTTGTATTACGAGATCGCAGCTTTCTCCTCTCCCAAGCCTGCCGATGAGTTGCCGGCCAAAGGGTCTACTACGTGAACGATTCCGCCTTAAGCAACTAAGGGGAGGAGAACCGCCAACCCGCAGAGACGAACAAGGAGGCGACTGATCGGAGGCGGGCATTAGCCAGACTTTCCAATCTGTGAGCTTATGCTCTTCCGGAATACTGGAGGGAGTCGGAGGTTTTGGGAACGCAGCCGACACGCCGCCTTCCTCCCCGAGCGCCTTTCTTTCCTCAGAGCTGCCCAACTCTCCCAGTTGGGAGGAGTATCCAGTTCCCCGCGAGAAGACGGGACCGTCAAGATTTTAGGGCGCCATTGACGCGGGCACCGCCAGGTGCAGCCAGCTGGGTTTCTTGGGCGTCCCTCGTCCTCCGTGTTTTACGCCTTCCGCCCGAAACAGAACAGTCCCGGGGGGGCGATTCGGCTTCCGAACCTTTCGAAATCGAGCCCCCTCACCCATTCCCAGGTTCTTCTCCGCCCTTTTGAAGGCGACGCCGCCCTGCGAAGCGCAAGACCGAAAGCGCAAGACTGTCTCTGGCGCGAGGTTCGGTCGCCTGTTCCGGCCGAGGGGAGTGGGAGAAGAGAAGCGTCGAGAGTTGGGCGGGAGGAAAATTTTGGGAAAGGAAAGGCCGAGCCGAGCGGCTCCAAAACAAAACAAAACAAGTTCGTTTCGATCAGCCGGAGAGGAAGAGATGGCGGCCGAGAAAGTGACGGGTCCGGAATGATATTCTGAGCGGCTGGTAGAAATCAGCAGGTTGGAGTTTCGGGACGCTTCGGATGAGCTGCCGGGTGAGAGCAGGCTGGGATGCAAAGAAGAGAAGTTTGGAAGCGAGTCGCGGAAGATCTCTTGGCTGAGATTATCGGGGGTCCGCTGGAAAGGGTAGGTGGGGCCCACTAGTGCGCCACCGCCGGGCATCATTTGGGACCCCTTGCCTGAATTCCCACGCGAGGGGCGCTTTTTTTCCCCCCCCCCGGAGGACTTGCCATAGTTTGATGGCCTCTGACTGCAGCATGAGGACGAACGGCGGAGGCCCCGACGGCGGGAACAGTGCCAGTTGCTCGCCTTGCAACATCAGCTACACCCTCCCCATCATCTCATCCAACAAGCTCCCGGACCAACGCTTCGTCAGCCGTGGGGCCTACGGGACGGTGTCCTCTGCGCGTCACGCAGACTGGCGGATCCCGGTGGCTGTCAAATCCCTGCAGGGCAGCCTGTTAGAAAGGTAACTTTTAGGGCTAGGCGCGAACCTCCAGGCTTAGTTGCCAAGGTTGGAGACCCCTGCTCTAAGCCATCCTCCTTTTCCTGAGAGACAGGCCTTTTCTCCATTGCTGTTTCCGAAAAGTTAAAAAAAAAGAAAGTCATTCTCCTTTTCAAAAAAAAAAAAACCCAAGTCTTATAATTGTTAGATCTATGTATTTTTCTTTGGCGGGTAGTAGCCCTATTTGGGCATTTTTATATGTGGTTCATAAGAGATTATATACAGGTAGTCCTTGATTTAACAACAGTTCTCTTAGTGCAGGGGTGGGCAACTGTGGCCCTTTTACAACCTGTGGACTTCAACTTCCAGAATTCCTGAGCAGCCAAGCTGGCTCAGGAATTCTGGGAGTTGAAGTTCACAGATCATAAAGGGGCCATATTTGCCCACCCCTGTCTTAGTGAACTCTTCGAAGTTACAATGGCATTGAAAAAAAGTTACCTTTATGATCATTTTTCGCATTTATGATCGTGGCAGTATCCACCATAGTCACATGATTTACATTTGGATGCTTAACAACTGATTCACATGTATGACTGTTGCAGTGTCCTGGGATCATGTGATCACCTTCTGCAACCTGACAAGCAGATTCACTTAAAATCCGTGCTACTAATTTAACAACTGCAGTGATTCGCTTAACAAACGTGGCAAGAAAAGTTGTAAAATGGAGCAGGACTCACTTAACAAATTTCTCACTTTAAGAACATAAATTTTGGGCTCAATTGTGGTCATATGTTGAGGACTATCTGTTCTTACCCATGATAAGGCCTGCTTTTCTCCCACCAGTTCTTGCCATTGGCCACGTGGGCTAGAGATAATGAGCACTAAGGGCAAAGTCTGATCACCTTTATAGGAAATTTAATTTGCACCTTAAGCAAAAGATTATTAGCACACTAGTAGTGGATCCTATTATGTGGGTTGGAAAAGTAACTCAGGATCAGACTGGTAAATAAAGGAGAATATTTGTAGCTCAGAGTTGACATGAGGGGTCCTTGGTGCTCTCTGACCTTGCTTGTTTTCCTGCAGACGTGTCATTACCCAAACTAGGTAACATCATTAGTGCGCATGATATTGCCTAGTTTTGCTAATGAAATGTGTTGGGGGGGAAAACAAGCAAGCTCAAAGAGCACAAAGGACTCCTCAGACTGGTAAATTCTGGTAAAATTTCTTTCACTTTCTCTTTCGGAAAAAAAGGAAATACTTCAGAGTTTTGGGAGGATATTAACCTGCCTGCAGAGGAAAGCAATATGATTCTGTAGTATAGTTTTGGATGGGATTCCTAGAATACTTCTTGTTCCATAATTGTTATCCTGGATTTTTTATTCGTTTGCTTTGCAAGAGGGAGGGAGGGATATAGCAATAGCAATAGCATTTAAACTTATATATGCTTCACAGTGTTTTTACAGCCCTCTCTAAGCGGTTTACAGAATCAGCATATTGCCCCCAACAATCTGGGTCCTCACATATATGTGTATATGCATACATTTCTGTGGGAAAGAGGATAGTGCATGTACAGATAATACCCTTGTAAATAGGGTACATTATATTACAGACAAATAATTTCAATTCATATTTTTAATTGAGTTAATATAAATATATATTTTCATTCCAACTTTATCCTGGTTTGGTTTATGGTTTCCAGCAGGTAAAGAGTGCCTGCATACGTCTAAGACACTTATACAGATAGGTGTGTCACTTTTAGGGACACATTTTGTGTGGGAAGGAATCTCCAGAATTTCAGTTGGCAGTTAGCAAGTCTAGGTGAACAACGTAGAGCAGTTGGGCATTGCACAAAATGGTCATTTGTGTTATCTATTATTTTGAGGTGTTAAGGGGAATAGATCAAATTCAGTTTATCTTTTCAATAAATCTAATATTAGCTGGTTCTTTGAGAATATGAGTAGTATAGGAACTGCTAGAAGATTCTGCCATATTTTAAAGAGATGGAATTTAAGTGTTATATCAGAATTCTACCCTAGATGTTTCAATGTTGAAATTAATCATTTCAAGTTCTTAGGCCATTTTGGGACACCATTGTTTTCAGTTTGCAGCTATCCAGTCTGGAGTGATAAGGTTCCCTTCATCTTGCCTTCATAAAATTTAGTCTTTAGTTTCCAGATCATCGTTGTTGCTTTTCTCCAAATCTATTTCAGATTTTTTTTGAATTCTTTATGCAATGCAAGACCAAAACTGAACACAGCATTCCTGCTGAAATCTGACCAAACAAAACAAAATGAAACAATTGCAGCTCATGATTTGGAACGATGTTTCTGTTTTTGCAGTCTAAGATTACCTTTGGCATTTTTGCAGCCTTATCATATCTGATACATTCAGTTTTAATGCTTGTTCCAGGACGAATTACTGTTGCCAAGCCAGATACCTCCATCCTATTTACATTCAATTTTGATAGCCTAAGTGAAGAAACTTGCATTTGTCTCCCTGACTTTCATTCTCTTCTCAGACCATTTATTTACCCTATCAACATTGTTTTGAATTTTCTATATCTATTAGTTATCCCAGGCTTTGTTTCAGTCTCAATATTAATAAGTTTTTCTTTACCTGAGTAAGGCTGAACTTTGTGGTATTTAAGTCAGTGATCATGTAATGAGGAATCACCATTGAGATGTGGTGGAATCTGGCATTGAGGTATGAGAGACGGAAAACATAAAGCAGTTTTGAATTGTTGCTATTCAGGAAGTAGCCCAGGAGGGACACTCTCTAATTTCTTCTCAGCATTTATGGTTTATAGTTATGCAGAGCATGCTGTAGTCTAGAAATATTTTGTCTGTACCTGAACATGCAATAAAGAAACTGCTTTGAGGTTTACCCATGTTCTTGGTTTCCCATACCTGACATAAGCGCTCTTTCAGTATGATTTTTCTTAGCCAGCTTTGTATCCAGCTAATTGTCATGCCATATATCATATTATAGGTTGTGGTGGCCTAGCGGTTAAAACTCTGGGTCGTCAACTGGAAAGTTGGCAGTTCGAGACCCCGTGTTATGGGGTGAGCTTCCACTCTTGGCCCAGCTTCTGCCAACTGAGCAATTCAAAAGCATGCAAATACAAATAGATAAATAGGTACCCCTTTGGTGGAAGGAAACAGCATTCCATGCACTTCAGCGTACAGTCGTACCACCCACATGCTCATGGAAGCATCTTCGGACAATGCTAGTTCCCTCACCTAGGAAACAAAGATGAGCATCACCTGTAGAGTTGGACACGACTAGGCAGGGGAAACCTTTACCTTTACAGCTAACTGGGGTTACTTTGTCAGATGTTTTGCTGAAATCAAGATATACTTAAACCTAGAGCATTCCCACAATATACAGAGGAACTGTCCAATACAATAACAACCACAAGTCTGGTTATTCTTGTCAAAATCTTTGCTGGGTTGTGGTAATACAACCATTGTTTTCAAAATGGTTATAGATTTGTAATATATATATATATATATATACCGTATATATATATAGAGAGAGAGCTTCAGTTTTGAGAAGTAATCTAATGCCTATATTTGTAAAACTACTTCTCGGTAGTACAAGCAAATACAAAAAGGCAAAATTACTATTGCTCCCGATTATATTGTTCAATTACTACATAGACTTGCCGGAATATAAAGTTATATATACATGTAAAAATTGTAGGCCAAAAAAGAGGCGCTTAAACAATCCAAGGCAGAGTTAGTGGGGCTGACTGTCACTAGCAGAAAAGTGGAATACAGTATTATATAAAACAACATAAAGTTAAGGGCTGGAATCTTGAAAAGATTCATTCTGTACTATGATCAGTGGTGGATTAAGCTTCACTGGTGCCCTAAGCACTGACAAATCTTGATACCTCCCCTCCTTTGTACATACTGTACAAATCTTCATTGTTGTTTTTTTTTCTTTCTCAACTTTGTGGTGCCCCCTTTGGGTCTGGTGCCCTAAGCACGTGCTTAGTCTGCTTAATAGTTAATACCAGGGTGGATAAAAATCAATGATTTTTAAAAAAAAAATTAAAAAATCGGATTTTTTTGATTTAAATTGGATTTTTTTGATTTAAATCGGATTTTTTTATTTAAATCAGATTTTTTTTGATTTTTATTTAAAAAATTTTAATAAAAAACTTTTGGGGTAAAAATCTATCGTAAGATAGTTTTCTATTTAAGATACATAAATAATTTAGTTTATTCAGCATGAAATGGAGCTTTGTTATGTAGCATGAGGCTGTATATTCTGCAACACTGGGACTATCGGTGAGTCAGCAGCGGGTCAAAGGAGTAGCAGATGACAGTTGCCCTTTAAAAATTATGATTTAAATCGAGTTGATTTAAATCAAGTCTTTTTACTAATGATTTAAATCATGATTTAAATCATGATTTAAATCGACTCGATTTAAATCAAATCCACCCTGGTTAATACGCCACTGACTATGACATATGTTAAAAATCACATTGTATTCCATATTTATTCCTGTTAAATCAGCGTAATCAAGGATGTTTCCTGTTCATTTAATGAACATAAACTGTTATTTGACTTCTTTCTACTCTAAATTCCTTAACAAAAATTTTATGATTCCTTGGCTTGTTTCTAAGCTGAGATACATTCAAAAGCTGGTACACTACAATAACCAACAGTTATCTATAGTTAACTAGCTGATGCATCTGGATGAAGAAGAAAAGGGGCAAGGCTGAACAGTTATGCAATGTAGAAAGCGTAGTAGACAATAAAAAAGCAATCCTATAAATTGAATATCCAGCCCTGTATAGTATTAATGTTTTGCTTAGTTATTAATTAGGTAGAATAATAATAAAGTTGGAAGGGATCATTCTTGCTCAATGCAAAATGGTAGCTAATAATATACAATTCACCTGAACATCCAGTTCCACTTTCCAAAGTTCAGATCAAGTTTCTATGTGTGAATGTGTGTGTGTATTTAACTACACTTCGAGTGTTAATTTTTATTTCTATCATCAGCTGGTCTTTATTTGTTTAATAAATAGAAGTAGCACCACTTTTGTTTTCAGTATTTCCCCTTAATTCAGTTAATAATTAACTGGACAGACAATTTGGTGTAGTGGTTAAGGCATCAGGCTAAAAAGTAGAAGTCCATGAATACTAGTCCCACTTTATGCATGAAATCATCTGGGTAACCTTGTGCCTATCACTCTCTCTCAGCCCTAGAAAGAGGGCAATGACAAACCACTTACGAAATCTTCAGGAACTGCAGGAACTTGTCCTGGTAGTGGGTAGAAGTCAGAAACTGACTTGAAGACACACAGACTCCTTACTTTCACTCTTAGTTCCTTATGGTTCTATCTATAGTTCAACAGTTTACTGAAGACTTTCTCTTGGAGTAGCTGCTCTGATTTCCAGAAGAGAAGCCAGGTTCTGCATTATCATTTAAGACACAGCCATGTTTCTATTAATAAGAAACATGAACTCAATTCTGCCTCTTCAGGATGAATCCTATCACTTGTGGTGGCCTAGATTTTGCTCATGCTAACAGCAAAATATTTTGATTTAAAGAGATGGGAATAGAGCCAAGATATAATCAGTGTATGTGTACCTGGTTGCTAAGCACCGTAAGGAAACAAATGTCAGACTGACAGGTGTTGGGGGCAAGACACAAGCTACATGTGTTATAAAATAACTTGGTAACAAAAGAAAATCAGCAATGCACACAGTTTATGATTGTTTTGGTAGGTATTCAACTCTTTTCTTTAAATTTATTGAAGGTAGAGAGTAACATAATGATATTTTCCCCAATAAAAACAAAAGTGATAGAATAAGAATTAAGTAACAAGAAAAGAATAAATCGAGTAAGAAAAGAATAAGAATTGAAAAAGAATAAATTCATTTAAAATCAACAAGCACAATTTGTGCTTTGAAAAGATAATTATTTTCTTGGCTCTAACTCTCTTGGCCATCAGAAGGTTGGTAAGATCTGGCTTTTTCCTTACGTTTTAGAGTTGGGATGTTATGCTTTCCCGTTCGGAAGTTACATTATTATTTTAATTTTGGGCTAATTGTGGGTTTCTTTTATACAGGTTTTTTTTTTTTTTGCAAATGTACTTAAAATATATTTTATAAATAAATAAAGCTGGAAAGATCACTTGAACAAATTCTGTCCAATTAGATACTGGGCAGGTTTAAACAGTCTTTAATACAGTATTGCAGATCTCTAATATTAAGCATTCCCTAAAGTTAATTATGAAGGTATGCAACTTCTCTTAATGCAGTATGTGGTGCAAAAATAGGCAGAGGCAGGACTTTTTTATCACAAGGTGAGAATATTTCAGTATTAAAACAAGCACCTTAAAGCTTAAACCCATATTTTGTTCTTTCGCTGTCCCAATCCTATACCTTCCCCAAAATGTAGCCTATTGGAATAAGTGTTTGGGACTCTGAAGGTTGAAAACAGGCATAGTTTTAGTTTTTTTCAGAGAAAGTGCAGACAGCAGCACCTTGCTGCTCTTCAAAGAGATGCATGGAGACTTATCAAGATATTCAGTAATGGCAAGTCACTTTTGTATTATTGTTAAGAAAACGACCTGGGTGATCTCTTGTAATCATCAGATTCTGAGCTTGTCTCAAGAGAATTTGCCTTTCTGCAAATTTAAACACCCCTTAGGATAAGTGCTAGGTAGTGGTGGGCTCCAACCGGTTTAATAACCGGTTCTGTGAGCGTGCACTTTGCACACAGCATTCAAAATACAGCAATTTGAAGCTCAGCTGTTTACCTTCAAAGGCCCCAGTAAATAGAACAGTGGAGGCGCAGAAATCAGCTGTGCCGCGTGAATCAGCTAAGCCAGACAGAAGGAAATATAGGATAGCATAGGGTGGGGGCAGGTGGATGGGGCCAGCTGATTGTCGGAACTATCAGTTCGCCCGAACCGGCAGCAGCCCACCACTAGTGCTAGATCACTATGACTTTCAAATTCCCAGCCAGTTATGAAAGGATGATGGTCTTATATAAAAGGCACATGTAACTTTCTGACCTTTAAGTGGCGGCATTTTTGAAGCAATAACCAGCAGACTAGAACCAAAAATAAATAATAACTAGATTTAATTAGAATACAGTATGTATGATTATTCCTATTAACTTTAATGATTTTCAAAATTGCACTTTAGTGATAACCTCCAGAGATAGTTTACATGGCTGCATCTAAGAGTTGGGTCTACTGGTTTTGCAGTTTTAGGAAGATTATTTGCCTTCTGATAAACAGCAAAGCTGTATTCTGAGAAGCCTTTGTGAAGAAATGATAGGACAACCAAGTGTGTGACTCATGAATGCTTTTCTAGCAAGTCTGTTGTAAAATGTACAAAGGGGAACTCCATAGACATTTTCTAGACAGTGAGATGTGATTTTTGGGAGGAGCAGATAATGTATCTCTCCCGAGAGGAGAAATATTGCCTTTCTCTTGAAATGTGATTAGAAATATATAAACATAGAAAACTGACGGCAGTTTCCTAGATGGATTGGTGTGTCAGTTTCGCATGGTGTTGCTTGTCACTTTCTAATGAATAATAATTTGCAGTTCCCAGGATTATGTCCTTTGCATTAAACAAAGCCCACTTCCAATCCAACTCATTGGCTGATTGTTTCTTAGACTCTATCTATAAAGGGTTACATTCAACAGCCTCTTCACTAGCATCTTTCAGCTTTGTTAGACTTCAAATTTTCCAATTTTTTTTATTTAATTTGTTTGCTTGCTAGAAGAATACATTTGGGAGTGTATTTATCATACTCATACTTTCTCTCTCTAGATATATTTGTATAAAAATCTATTCTCACCCCCTATGGATGATATGTATCTTCCTCAATCTTGGGTCCCCTATCAAAGGTCTAGAGCCTTGGTGGCGCAGCAGACTAAAGTGCTGTTAAGTAACACCAGCTGCCTGCAATTACTGCAAGTTCAAATCTCACCAGGCTCAAGGTTGATTCAGCCTTCCATCCTTTCGAGGTAGGTAAAATGAGGACCCGGATTGTGGGGGCAATAAGCTGACTTTGTATAAAAAAGAACACCGCTTAGGGGGGGCCGAAAGCCCTACTAAGCAGGTATATACAAAAGTATGAAGGCTATTGCTTAACGCCTTGTAAACCGCCCTGAGTCTCCGGAGAAGGGCGGCATATAAATCAAACCAATAATAGATAGATAGATAGATAGATAGATAGATAGATAGATAGATAGATAAATAGATAAATAGATAAATAGATAAATAGATAAATAAATAAATAAAAAGAGTTTGAAGGTTCTGCTCAGTATCTTAGCTGTCCCTAGCACTGCACGTTTTTGGACAGAGAACTCTATTGTTGTTCATGGAGCTGTTGGAGCAATTAATTCATCTGTTGGAGCAACTCTCCTAGTTTAGGAGTCATAGTCTAGAGTGTTCCTACCACCACTGGGACTACTTTGGCATTTACTTTCCACTTTCCTTTATTTTCCAGTTCCTCCTTCAGATCTTGATACTTCTCCAGCTTCTCATACTTCTTCTTCTTGATGTTGCTGTAATTTGGCACTGCTCTATCACCACCGCTGTCTTCTGATGAGTGGCTGGATAATATAGTATATGTTAGAGTACCACCTTTGATACGGGACTCTTTGATTAAACGACTGGCTGGTACCTATCTTACCAATGGGGATCCTTGGGCAAAGTCTCCCTAATGCTTTACCTGCCTACCTCAAAAGTGTGATATGAACAAGATATGTCATTCCAGCTCAGATGTCGACTGGATAAAAAGGTTCTTGATAGATGATGGGGAACTAGGACAATCTGATGATAAAATCTGGAACACTTCCCAGATTCATTCTCTCTCTCTCTCTCTCTCTCTCTCTCTCTCTCCCTCCCTCCCTCCCTCCCTCTCTCTCTTTCTCGCTCTCTCACACACACACACATGGGGCAGGAGAGAAAATAAGTGTAGTTTATTTGACTGTAATCAAAACCTTTGCTCATGAGTTTCTCCCAAAAAATTCTACTAACAGACATAGGTAATATAAAGCAGTTGTAGGAGATGACTAGGAAGAGGTCAAATGTCATCAGTTTCCAGTCCATTTGCGCCTAAGTCCAGCCCACCTTGAATTCCATTGACTCTTATCTACCACCAATTTGCTTTGACTGTTAGTAGTTCAGATTCTTGTAGAGATCTTAAGCGTGCAATAAAACTTTACATTCATTTGAACTGCCTAAATTATCTTAGTGCCTGAGCCAACTTGCTAGGACTGATTTTAAGGTAACAATGTATAAAGCTGTAGAAAATATAGTTTCCTATATTCCACAGAATGACTAGCAAAAGTAAAACTAGCCTCAAAATGGAATCCTGGAAATAGAATTGAAAACAACTGTATATTTTCACTTCAGCAACTGATGAAAGATGCAAAGAGAAAGGACAGATTTAAATAAATTAATATGTAAACAAGCCTTTTATTCTTTTCCTTTAGCCATGTCTTTCCACAATGTACATTTTAAGTCTATTAGCTGGAAGATAACTAAATTTGACTATTGTTTTGCCATTTATTCTTGTAGTGAACGAGACAGTCTCTTAAAAGAAGCTGAAATTTTACATCAGGCAAGATTCAGTTACATTCTACCAATTTTGGGAATTTGCAATGAACCTCAGTTTCTGGGTATTGTGACAGAATATATGCCTAATGGATCACTGAACCAACTTTTATATGAGGTAAGTATGCACAATTGTAGCAAGCGTTTAGAGCTACTTTATTAATTTTAAAATAAGGAAACCCTAACTCATACTTGCTGGAGAACTCTGGGAATCGAAGTGCACAGATTTTTTTAATTGCTGAAGTTGAGAAACACTGAGTTAATGCATCAGAAAGAAGAGGAGCACATGTTCTGACCAGTGTTGTGTCTTAGTCCAGAAAGGGGCAACTTGAGAACAAGTTCCCCATCTTCATGCATTGATATGGAATGACAAGTGCTTTTAGGGAGTCTCTTAAACGCTACTGAATATAGCCATTCTCCAGAACATATACATTTTTTTCTTTATTATATACAAAATGTTGTTATAGATTGAGAATGAATATGAAATAGTTTTAGTTGTGTAATTAATTTTATTAATTTTTAATTGTGTAGTTTTAATTATTGCGTACATAAATAAACTGGTGGCAATTGGTAAAGGCTAAAGGTGTTATCTAGTTGAGGTCAATTCTTGGTGACTTAAGGAAGACTTCTTCAGGTTATCTTGACAATAGCAATAGCACCTAGAGTTATATACCACTCCACAGTGTTTTATGGCATTCTCTGGTCAGTTTACAATGTCATATTGCCCCCAAACAAGTTGAGTCCTCATTTTATTGATCTCAGAAAGATAGAAGGCTGAGTCAACCTTGAGCTATTCAGGATTGAACTCCTGACTGTGGGCAGAATTTGCCTGCAATACTACATTCTATCCATAGTATCCCATGACATTGCCCATCCCATCCTGTCAATCAGGGAGAAGTTACCGGTATGTTGAGGACCTTGTCAGCTAAAGAATTCTGACTGCTAGGGTCCAGAAAAGAGCCTTCTCTGTGTTGGCCTCGGCCTTAGGAACATCTCCCCCCCCCAGAGGTGAGGTAGAGCCCGACTCTCTTAGCCTTTTGCAAAGGTTTGAAAACATGGCTCTGCTGCTTTGCATGGAGCGCACAGAGACTCAGTATTTGAACTGTGAGGGAGATGGGTGGTTTTACAATTTGATAAATAAATACATAAGCCGCTGGATCAGCTAGTTTCAAGATGCTCTTTCAATCATTCCAGTCTGTCTCTCTATATCGCCATGTGTTGTGTTCTTTCTCTTTTCTAAATAGAAAAACATCTACCCCGACATTGCTTGGTCACTCAGGTATCGCATTTTGTATGAAATTGCTTTGGGAGTAAATTATCTTCACAACCTGAGCCCTCCACTCATGCACCATGATTTGAAGACCCAGAATATTTTACTTGACAGTGAGTTCCATGTTAAGGTAAGGCTGGGCTCTTCTACAGTGCAGAAGTGGAAAAATCAGGGATAGAAACTTTACAGGACAGTTCAGGACCATGTGCGGCCCTCCCAAGCTCTGTTTTAACTGGCAGAGGGTTGCAGGAGGCCGTCGCAGCCAGAAATGGAGCTCGGGAGCCCATTTTTGCTGGCAGAGGCACTGCGGGCTGGTCCCTCACTGTTTCCAGGGCGGCCCTGCGGGCCAGATCTAAGCACCCTGCGGGCCAAATCTGGTCCGCGAGCTTTGAGTTTGACACCCCCTGTTCTAGCCTATTCCACTGTTTAACTGCTCTTATCGGGAAATTCCTCCTAATACTCAGTGTGGATTTCCTTTCTTTTAATTTTAACCTGTTAATTCTAGTCCTCCCCTTGAATTTCAACAGACATCAAATTTCCATCTTCTTTTCTACATACCGTATTTTTAGAAGTTTGCAAATTATTAAATTTCCTTTCAATTTTTTTGTTCATTTGTGTGATTGATATACAGAAAAGCAATATTGTGGCTTAGTAGATAATCGCATTGCTCATATTTATGTCTTAGAAGGGGAAGTAAAAATCACCACTCAGTAAATGAGAACTTTAAGAAGGTTTGTGGTGACCATGATTTTAGTTTTATAACATAAAACATTGCTGTTGCTAAATTTGAACTCTGCTCAGGGTTAGTCTAATGACTTAAGAATATATCTAGAAAAGCAAGTGGCATATGTGTGTGTGTGTGTAGGTCGTCATTGTAAATAAGTTGGTTAAAATGTTTAAAATTCTGGTTAAAATCCCAGCTTAAAATCTTCTAAAAATCCTTACAGAGCACTCTGCAAGGTCCTTTAAAACCTCAGCTAAAATCCTACCAGTGACTTTAAAAGTTTTTCTTATAGCAACGTTTCGACAGGCTCACAACCCTGTCATCTTCAGGCTCTGGTTTCGTTAGAAGCTATGGGTTCTCTGTTGCGAGGTCGGAGCTGTCGCTTATCTATATTTGCTGCTGCTGACGTATGCTGGCTTCTTCTTTCCTTAGAAGAACATAAAAATGCAATGAGGAAAGAAGAGCAAACTTCTTCTTTGGTACAACACATGAAAGCCACGGGACACAATATTGATTTTAATAAAACCAGAACAGTGGCGGAAGAGGAACATCTCAACAAAAGAATAATCAGGGAGGCCATCGAAATTGAAAGGAGGCCGCAGAATATGAACAGACGAGATGACGCCTCTAGGTTATCAAGTATTTGGGGACCTGCACTGAGAGAAACTCAAGTGTTAACATCAGAAGAGAGGCAGAGATTCCATCAAGTAACCAGTGGTGTTGCAAGGCCTGCCAGAATTCTTCCCGCTCTGCAGAGGGTGGCTAGCAATAAGGAGAGAGAGAGGATCGAGCCAGAAGACAGGCTGAGATCTCAACTAACAATCAAGGGTGCTGGGATGCCTACCAGAATCCTTTCCCCTCTACAGCAGACAGATAATAATAGAGAATCTGAGAAAGCTGGGCCTGTAACACACAGCCAAGCAGCTAGGATGAGGAAGCAGGAAGAAAAACTGCTGTCCTCCAATCGGGACACAGAGTTGCAGGCTAGCCAGCATACGTCAGCAACAGCAAATATAGATAAGCGACAGCTCTGACCTCGCAACAGAGAATCCATAGCTTCTAACGAAACCAGAGCCTGAAGATGACAGGGTTGTGAGCCTGTCGAAACGTTGCTTTAAGAAAAACTTTTAAAGTCACTGGTAGGATTTTAGCTGAGGTTTTAAAGGACCTTGCAGAGTGCTCTGTAAGGATTTTTAGAAGATTTTAAGCTGGGATTTTAACCAGAATTTTAAACATTTTAACCAACTTATTTACAATGACGCGGGAAAACACCCGAGATTTTAATTTTTTGCATATATATATATATATATATATATGCACACACATGTGAGTTGGCAATTACCATATTATCTAGTTTAACAAATTCTCACGAAGTATTTTATGGTTCCATTTTTTAATCAGCCAGTCCTTTTTGTTTTCTGATCTGCCTATCTTTTTGAAATAATTGTTGTAATTTTAAAGTTTTTTAAGTAAAAAAGAATAAGCTTCTTTTCATATAAACAGCCTTTCTTTGACCAAAGTAGATATTTTAATGGGCCTAAACCTTTGTGTCTCAGAGCTGCACGTGGTGACCTGAGTTTCTTTTCCATCTTTCAGATTGCAGATTTTGGTTTATCAAAGTGGCGCATGGTGTCCATGACACTTTCAAAAGGGGATAAATCAATATCTGAGGGAGGGACCATCATTTACATACCACCTGAATGTTATGATAGCAGCAAAACCCGTTCAAGTGTAAAGCATGATATATACAGGTATATTATTCTATTATGGATTTTCGGAACAATGTGTGCTTATTTTTTAAAATATAAAATATAAAAAAATCAGCCATATAGGGCATTACAGATACCATATGTAAAATGCAGTGAGATTAAAGGGCAAAAATGTTGCATACCTTGGTGTCTCAGTCTCTATAGAAAAACTTTATATTTTGTGGAGGTTAAGGTCAGCACATTTTTTTATTGGGAAGATTGTTTTCTTAGTGGTGTTTCTAATCCGCTATGTATTGTTTGGGGTATATTTCTTTTCTTTTTCTGTTCAATAGCAGTCAACAAACTAATGCACTTTTGCATCTGGTATTTGCCAGTCAGTTTAATTAAATTTTTAAACTGCCTCTCAAGTCAATTTAAGGATGGGTTTCTATATGCAATTACGACTTTGCTGTCCAGTTATGTCCTGCATAATGCAAGTTTTTTCATGCATACCTTTTCTCAGGCTTTATATTGTACACATGCTTGGAAAATCTAATTCATCCCTAAGTTTCAAATAACACACACACACACACGTGTATCTTATTGTGAAATAGGGTCACAAAAATGTTAATCCAAACTCATTATTACTAGTTTCTGGAAAGGAACATTTTAACCCTTTTCAGGTTACTTAAAGTAAGTCAAGCATTTTTAATTTAGTGAAAAGCTGCCCTTCAGAAAATTTTTACAGGGGTATTAACTAACTAACAATGCAAGTCAAGGTATAGAGTGTAAAGATTTCATTAAGGACTTTGGCTGCTCCAGTGCTTCATGCATGCACATTAGCAACAAACAATGATACATATCCAAAGAGCCTGCATTCAGGTAAACTCTGGTTTAGTGAAAGAACTTCTGCTTTGTGTTCTTTTTCAATACAGCTTTCTGCATATTTTCAAAAATATTGCTTCCTTTTTAATTAAAGAAAAGCTTAATCCTATGCATTGAATGTAGGTTCATCTTAATGTTCTTGAATAAAGTCAGCTTCTGATTTTAAGATGCCATCTCTTGTATGGAAGGAAGTTTTGCTAAGGGGATGCATTCAATAAAAAATAGATGTGAAATATTCCAAAGTTTTCTTTGTGGCTACATAGAATTAGCATGGAAACCTAAAATATACTCTATTTAATTTCTAGTATGACAGGGATATATTGATATAAGAATGCAATTGATATAATTAATATTTAAATAACATTTGAGAAAGTATCCTTGTATTTATATTAGGTGTAATAGGTATTTATTTATTTATTTGTGTGTGTTTTTGTTTATTCACAAATGCTGTATATATAACAAAATTACTGTGTTTTTATGATACCAAAGGTATTTGTCCCAACTAGTCACTGAGAATATTTTAAATGCTAATATCCTTGCTTTGCTGTTAGATTGGGATGTAGATTTCCCACAAAACAACAGTAACTGGGATATTTTCATTTTACTGAGATTATTTTGCCTTGGGGAAAAATGAACTAATTTAAAAATACATACTAACATGCATTTTTGTTTGTAACAGTTATGCCATTATTATGTGGGAAGTGATGTCAAGAAAAAAACCATTTGAAGGTCAGATTTTGGTCTTTAATTCTGTTAAAGAATAACTTAGTTAGAATAATCCTGAATAGTTAAAATTCAGATTAACGTAAACAATATTTTTAAAGCCCATTGTTTCCCCTTTGTCTTAAGCTTGTATTGTATTGGACTATTGCAAAATATTGGTAGAGCAGGAGAACTATTTTGCTTTTAAAATTTCTAAATTACGTTTATATCACAATGTTATCTAAAATGTGAATTTACTACTTGTGTTTCAATTTCTAAAATTGGACGAAATGCACATATATTTCTAACATAGGCATGTATTGACTTTTGCAGACGTTGTACATTATTTGCAAATTATGTTTACCATGTCACAAGGGAAGCGTCCAGATGTTGGGGAAGAGACTTTGCCCCTTGATATTCCTTACCGAGAATTGATGGTGTCTTTAATGGAATCTTCTTGGGCACCCAATCCAGAGGAAAGACCATCTTTTTCAAGTGAGTTTCTCTGTATGATAGATAACTCAGCAGCTCTGGCTACACTCTGCTGTTGTATATTTGTTGCACCCGCTTAAGTGCTTCTCTTGCTTCCATATCAACTCTACTGAAGAAAAGCCGCACTTGAACACAATGTTCAAGATTGTTCAATGGTTGGAAGCATCCCAAGTATTACTTGGGATTGCTTTAATTGTATATTAAAGTTATTAAGTATAATTTGCATTGGCCTTTAAGCATTATTTTACCATTATAAAAATAGGACTACCTACTAAGTGGGTCTTTCCCATCACCACCAGTTGCCTGGATTCAATGAGCAAAGATGCTTTGGAGCAGATGTGAGCACTAGTCAACAACTTGTTAAAGCAGTTATACTTATTCCTGTAGTCATATGGGCACACTTTCCATTCCAAACATGCAAAAATACTTGTTAAGAAATTGTGGGCTATTGCTTGGTCCATGATCAATGAAATTCTGAAGCACCTTTTCCCCTTAAAAATTGTAATCCTGTACAGGCCTATTGACTAAGGGGAATGCCCACCTAATAGGTAACCCTATATTTATTTTGTGATTCAATTGCAGTGGGAAGTTTTGAGATTATCTATTCACTGAAGGTTGCTCAGTCAAGCAAGTCTTCCTTGTGCTTTTTTTAAACCCTCAGTGAGGATATGGTTACTCTTTTTCCCATTTTACAGCTGAATTGCAAAACTGAGACAGTTGCTAGACATGGAGGAATAAAAACAGTAATTCTCCAAGCACGTGAGCATGAGTGAAGGACCTCTTCTTGAACCATTAAAGCAACTAGTTCTTAGCAAGCCCCATGTGGCTGCTGTCTTTGCACAGCCCTGCTACGCAGAAGTGAGGTAGAAAGTCTGTGCATAATTTAATGATGCATATATTACTCTTGTTTGTAAAATTGTTTAGTGCTTTAGAACAATCCAGACACTAACACAACCATCCAATAAGATACATTTGTACTAATCAGATATCTGGTATTTGGATTCCGGAAGCCATTGATGTCACAACTAATACTATATTATTATAGTTGATTTATATATATATTCTAATATTTAAATTTAAATAGGATGAATACATAGAAAGCAGCCTGGTTGCTTTCTTGGGTAGAGTAGTCCTTAGCATGTAACCATAATGGAGCCTGCTCATTACTGTGATATATTGTAGAGGTCATAAAAAGAGTCGTTCATGTGACTGACCCCATTTTATGACCTTTTTTGCAGTGGTCATTAAGGAAGCAAAGGTTCACTAGGGGTGCAGTTTTACTAAAATCTGGAAGTAAATTCCAGTTTTCAGCAAGACCAGGTCAAAATGCAATTGCAAATGACAGTACAATAATGGCCATAAATGGAACAGTGTTGTTGAGCGTTCGAAGTTCAATCATGTGACTAACTCTTACTTCACATCTAGGTTGTAAGTCCCTTTTTTCGGGTCAGTCATAACTTCAAAATTTGCTAAGTAGCTGGTTGTAAATTGAATACTTATATTCGTGTATTTTATATTGGCATACAAATCAGAAAAGGTTTAACGTGTCAGTATTCTAGACTTAGAAAAGTCTAGAACAATTTTTATATGAATACTCTGTTTTCCTCACTTTATTTTTATTTTTTTGCTATTTATGGCTTGAAAGATGGGCTTTCCTTGACAATTAAAAAAAAGCGGCAGATAATGTTTTCATTGTATTAGGAAGGTTCTCTCGCCCTCCAAGCATTCATCTGCATATGTATAGGACTTCCAAATAGATGAAGAATGGATCCTTGGTTTACTTCTCTTTCCAGTTTTCATGCATTTAGCTAAAGGAGAAGTTTTCTGCAATTGTATGACTAGAGCTGTCTGTAGGATCTGGGCCTTGGTTTTTTTGCCTAGAATGTAAAAACCTGTGCTTGAATGTAAAAAACCTGTGCTGGGAAGACCTGTACTTGAATGGAAGGGTTCAGGGGTGAAAAGCTCCCAGGTCGGATGGGATCACCCGATCCGGTAGCGATGGCGGCGGGTGGTTCGGAGAACCGGTAGCAAAAATCCCTGCATGCCCCCCCCCATGCCCAACTGAGCCACACGATCATCAGAGGCTTTTTTTTTTTTACTTTTAAAAGCATTTTTTCTACAACCTCTTCCGATGAAAATATGCTTTTAAAAGTAAAAAAAAAAAGCGTCTGATGATCGCGCGGCTCAGCTGAAATCACCAGAGGCTTTTCAAAGCATTTTTTTCTGCAACTTCTGGCCAAAGAGGTGGTAAAAAAAAATGCTTTGAAAAGTCTCTGACGATCCCAGCTGAGTTCCTGATCGGCAGAGAGGCTTTTAAAAATGCTTAGAAAAAATGCTTTGAAAAGTTTTTTTTAAAAAAAGTTGGCCACGCCCACTCAGTCACATTACCCACCCCCCACCAAGCCATGCCCACAGAACCAGTAGTAACAGATTTTACATTTCACCCATGGAAGGGTTGCTTCTGTATTGTAGCCTGATCTCTATCCAATTTCACTGGAATGACTGAAAAGAGTGAACGTGTCAATGTCATTCTTCCCATATTCTTACTCTGCAGCATACTACTTTACCTAAAGCCATGTAATATGTTTGTTGCAGGCAAATTCTTAACCCTGATATTTCCTGGTTCCTGTTCTGGCTATCAGATAGCGCTCAACTCACTATACATGCCAGTTATTCTATATTGAAATGCACTCAAAATCATATCCGATACTATGGTAGATGGTGATTTGTTGTGATTCATTCAGTATTTCTTTTTTATTATTATTAAGAGGGAAAACTCTAAAAGTCATCTTTATGCCTTCAGATACCTGAAATCTTAACCTTGTTTTTGTTCAGTTTTGGCGAAAGTAAATAATAATAATTTGGTGAAAGATACTTTCTTAAGATTTAAGGGATTTAGTAGTAATCAGTAAACAGTAACAGAGTTGGAAGGGACTTTGGAGGTCATCTAGTCCAACTCCCTGCTCACGCAGGGATTTGAACCGCCGAACTGCCAACCTTTCTGATCAACATGCTCAGGGTCTTAGCCATTGAGCCACCTAGTCTTTGTTTGAGTAAGCAAGTTCATTTATTTATTTATTTATTTATTTATTGGTTCAATTTTTATGCCGCCCTTCTCCGGAGACTCAGGGCGGCTTACAATGCGTTAAAGCAATAGCCTTCATACTTTTCTATATACTTGCTTAGTAGGGCTTTCGCCCCCCAGCCCAAAGCGGTGTTCTTTTTTATACAAAGTCAGCTTATTGCCCCCACAATCCGGGTCCTCATTTTACCTACCTCGAAAGGATGGAAGGCTGAGTCAACTTTGAGCCTGGTGAGATTCAAACTTGCAGTAATTGCAGGCAGCTGGTGTCACTTAACACCACTTTAATCTGCTGCGCCACCAAAGCTCTTCGGAATATTTCTGGAATATGATATGATGAGCTTTTTCTGGAAAATTTTGAAATCAAAGACATTTGATTTCTTAACTTCTGTGTTAAGAGTCACCTTATTCTGAATCAGATATAAGCAAGGTTCATGTAATAGTTTCAGTTTAGTCTGTGTAGTATCTGAAATAATGCATTATTATGTTGTAATATACGTTTATGGAAACATAATTAATTTTTAACCAGCATTAAGTGCTCATTAAAATAGTAATTATGTGGAATAATGTTAAAACTACAGTTCCAAGACGTGCAATGCAATATTACTATTCTCCCAAGAATATCCAAATAGAGTAAGCTTGAAGAAATGGAGGATGAAGGAGGAGAAAACAAGCTGTAGATGCCACTGTGGTGCATTGCCTTTGGGATGCCTTCATGTTGCCTCTAGGACTGCTTTTATGAGGGAGATTCATTTTACCTTACTTGTGAAAATCTTCAAGATGGTGATACAGTCCACACAAGTGGGGTCTGGCAGGTTATAGGTTCATCCTGTTCAATCGGACTGAGCTACTGGGGAAGCAGTGGGGAAGGAGAGATAGGGGGCACAACATGGCTGGGATTGTAATTCTGTTAATACCAAATTTTGGTAAAGTTTGGTGAACCTGAAAGCAATGTGTCAAGCAGAATACACACACTATTTATTTATATAACCCATCAGCTCACAATATAAGAACAAACACAATAAGATAAACAAAATAATAAGATAAATAATAAGTAAATAAATCACTCAATAAGAAAAATAAGCAAAATGGCAAAACTGAGTGACTGTTTAACACAAAAATATGTAACGTGACAAACTTATCTAACAAGGAATTCAGTTCATCCTACCCTAAGGCCTGGGATAACATTAAGGCTTTCTGGAGTCCAAAACTCATAGGGTAATTATGTTAAAATGTCAAACATTAATTGTTCCCTATCTGTTGGATATATAGGATGTAGTACTATCTAGTTTTACCCAGGAATAGTTGGTTTTGACATCCTTCAAATTGGCCTTAGGGAGTATGCTTTAAAATATTTTTCAGGAATGTAATTTCCATAATTTAAACTTTCTGTTAAGAGACCTAATAGTGAGTATCTTTCTTTAGGGTGCTTAATAGATCTTGAATCTGTGATGAGGACCTTTGAAGAGATACCTATGCTTGAAGCAGTAATAGATTTAAAGAGGGCCAAAGTAAGTGCTCATATTATAATCTATTATGAATAAAAATTATTCCCAAAAAGGAAATTGGATATCCATGTATCTGAACTTAGAATTCTCATACTATTAACCATATGCAGTTGTTCACTTTCCCAGTCTGAATTATGCTAAGATATATGGGAGCTTATGGGACCATAAGACCATTGAGATATTTGTAATCAGAAAACTGCCCTATTGGGGTACCTGATTACAGATAGAACTGTAAGCATGTTTAGCTAAAGGGATGTACTTGTCCATTTGTCCCAAAGGTGCTTTTTCAAGAGGTAACTGGACTTTTTGGTTTTTCTTTGAAGACGTTTCACTTATCATCCAGGAAGATTATTTGGATAATAAACAAAATGTCTTCAAAGAAAAACAAGGAAGTCCAGTTGCCTCTTGAAAAAGCACCTTTGGGACAGCCATGACCTAGATGACTGAGAATCTCCATAGACATCCCGTCCATTTATGTATGTATTGTTTATTTTTATTATTATATTTAATATATTTATATAATATAAAAATTATAAATTATAGTTTATTTACAAAATAAATTCATGTATTGTTGTGTTAAACAATAAAAATCTGTGCAAGCAATTGGCTGTAGGTGAGCACACGTCCCAAATTGTGCTCTTCCCACATAGCCTTACTCAAATGCAGAACTCTTGGGTAGTTTGTCTCATAATTATGCTTCGATTTCATAACACCATTTTGTTTTATACCGATGTCTCTTTCAGGCACACTATGAGTGGAGTTGCGTTCATTTGTCTAACAAGTTATCCAGTGATGAATCAATATCTTTAAATATACCACTGAACACTAGTATACAAGAGGTAAAACTTTTTTTCTATTATTATCATAAACACCTTAATATGGTTAAACTGTTTTTTGCCAAAGATCCGTGGTCAGTTTTGTAGAGAGTCAGAGACTCTCAGAGATTATTTCATTTGTGAACTATATTGGGTTGGAACACATCAACATCTCATCCAGTGATGCAAAGATTTATGATGAGCTAAACAATGAGCTCTTTGCCAAGGATTAACGTTCAGCATTTCAGACTTATGTTGAGGGTCTTTCAGGGGCATATAGCATATATTATGCTAATCATAGGCACACCTATAAGTTCGCATATTCATAGACCTCCTCAAGGCAGAAGATAAACGCTGATAAATGGCAAATGCCCGACATGGATAATTACTGATCCCTGCTTACCATACTATGATACAGAGGGACGTCTCTTCCATGTTTGAATGCCACAGAGCAGATATGAATTTTAAAAATAATAGCTTCCAAAAGGTGAAACTGGGATAACATCTAAGCACAGAGAGTTGTCTTCAGACCACTGTTGTCCTTGAAATAAATAGATCTTCCAGCCCTTACAATTCAATATTATTTCAGAAAAGTTTCCGGGTAACTTTAGGCTAGCTACATTCTCTCGGTGGGATGTTTCTCACAGAGTTGTCATTAATTAAAAGTATAGACATGATTTATGTCATTTTGTTATTAATAAAATGAGAAACAATAAAATATTATTGGCAATTTTTTTTGTGGAAATTTGAAGGTGAGTAACAATGCTGTTTTATTATGGCTCTCTCTCTCTCTCTCTCTCTCCTCTCTCTCTCTCTCTCTCTCTCTCTCTCTCTCTCTCTCTCTCTCTGTGTGTGTGTGTGTCTGTGTGTGTGTGATTATTTAAGGCTGGGAAAATGTTCCTTGATGAAGAGCTGTATGCATGAATTGTACAATGAGTTTACACCAAAAATCTTTGCAGTACTTTTGTTGCATTCTAAATCAACCACAATATGGTTGAGGCAATTAGTGATTGTGTGTAGTATTTATAACCAACAATTTTGGTATGAATGCAAAGTTTTGAAATAGCTTTCCTGGCACCCTCAGACAGATTAGACTTTAGCTATATTGATCATCAATTCCAAAAAATTTAGCCTAAGCAAATTTGAAAGCCACAAGAATGAGTAAAATTATTCTAGATATCCTGAGACCACAACATAAGGTAGAATTAATGGTATTAAGAGTAACATTGGTAACTCTGCAGTGCTATTTCAGAAATATATCCTACTGGATTGATACTGCATAAGGCGAGTATGCAGAGAAAAAAAACCCAAGATGTTTCATAAATGTGGGGCACATGGACACAAGCCATTATTTCATGTATTTCAGGCATGTCCAGCCGGCGGGCCACATGAGGTCCTGGACAGCTAGTATTGCAGCCCCCTTATAATTTTAAAGATTAAAATAATCCCATGATACTATATAGAATTTTATTATAGGTTTTTCTTTGTGTGTGTGTGTGTGTTTATTTTATTACTAATATGTAAGTAGGGTTTTAAATATATCTAGCATAATCACTAGTACATTTTGTGGTCATTGTACTTGTTTGCTAAATTTTACCTGTTGAAAAAATTAAACCAAAAATCTTTATTCCATGTGATTCTGTTCTTTCCAGAGTTCCTGTTCATCCCAAGATGATCAATCTTATCCGTCAAGTGTTCCCCAAAATATATCAAAAAAGTGCAACCTCCTTTCAGATGGTATGTCCTCTGCACACAATTGCAGTTTGATCGTTGGCAATTACATAATACTCTTATGAATACCAATAAAGGAGAATATTTGCAGCTCAGGGTTGAAATGTGGTGTCCTTTGTCTATTTTCCTGTTGGAGAACTCATGACTCTAGACATCGGTATCACTCTGTCTTCTGGCTCTATGGACTGGGTTCAAACTTGAAGAGATGCCCCCTTTTGCAGACGCTCCCGGTTTCAACTCAGTCCTGAGCTCGTTAGTATCTTTCTGGGTTGCTCTCATTTCTTATTTAGAATTGGCTGTTTTGGGAGTTTGTTGTAGCTTCTATTTAACATCGGAGAGCTGCTCTTTCATAGCAGCAGCAGTGTGAGTCAATTTCAGCGGCGATTCAGTGCAGACGCACCAGCCGCTAAAGATTTTGGAAGGGATTTCCTCAGCCGAGGGTCCTCTTTTCCTCTGTGCTAAGCGGCCAGACAGTATTCAGCTGGGAGTGAAACGCTGCCATTAAAGGTCACAGAGATAGGCGGCTAGGAGAACGGGCGCCATTATTCCACCCTTGACGAAGCAAGTGGTGATATAGCAGCCGCCATTGCTTAGTGCGTGTCTAGATCACCCAGGTGATAGCGTGGCTCAGGAGAGAGCCGCCATTTTGATACTAGGACCATGCAGAAAGCATCTGGTGCGGGTGCAGAGTGGTGTGGCGAGGGGCCTGGAGCTTTAAATCGCTCGGCCTACAGATTGGCTACTTCTCCTCAGGATCGTGAGTAAAAGGAGGAGGGTGGTGAATTAAAAGTACTGCGTGCAGGAGGATATGACTAAGGGTGATTATGCACCATTTTGAGAGCCGTTCAGAGTTTGCCGGATGCGGTGGCCATTTTGTCAGCATATTTCTAAGCACAGAGAGGAGAGCTGTCATAGGGCTCAGTTCTCGGTCCTCCAGCACAGCGCAAGTCCTTGGAGGGCAGCGTGAAGGGCCCTGGGCCTGAGTCCGCTTAGCCTCCAAGGTGAAGTAAATCAATTGATATGGTCTTTTTTCAGACCAGGAATAGCCTAAGTGCGGCCGGTTTCGGGCAGCGAAGCTTGACATATTTTTGGGCTTTGAGCAGGCGGCCTTGGCCTGCAGTGGTCCACAGTTTAAGGTGTTTGGCCCTTATAATTCTGTACAATTGCTCTCAGTCAGAAATATATATAAAAAAAAGATTCATTATATTTCTATTTATATAGGTATGGTATCAGATGCTTCACTTAGCAACCAAATGGAGCTAACTGACACTTCTCACTTGCAGAGAGCTTCCGGTTGGGGCTCAAAAGGCCGTTATCATAAGACGAGGAGTGGCAGTACTGAAGTGGCTGCAAAACTCAGGTCAAAGGCCTTGGTGCTTAAACGCCTGTCTAAGGTGCAGGAGAAGACAGAGAAACGCCACCAGACTGCATTGGAGAAACAGATACAAAGGAACATTAAGGTTGCTGCCAAGACCAGACATATTCAAGAGTCAGCTCCGGCTGGAGAGGCGGAGCTAGTGGAGGAACCTGGTCCTTCTACCAATGTTCAGTCAGGAGCATTACCACCTGGTCCCTCGGGGGTAGACTCCAGTAGGGAGAGATCCAGTTCTACACCTATCAACCTGGTGTTGTCACAGGGGGATAGGCAGGTTCCCGGCCGAGAGGCAGATATGCCAGCGATGGTGCAACATTGGATTGCTGAGGCAGTTCAGTGTGGTCTTGAGGCTGTAAGCAGTTCAATAGGCAATCAATACTTAGGACGGATGTCCAGTCACAAGACAATGGTCAGGCAGCTCCAGCGCTGGCAGAGCAAGCATCGGGGTCGAATTCAGACTCCTCTGAACCGTCCTCAGGTTCGGAGAACTCCTTGTCCATGAGGGAGGACCAGTGGGAACAGGAATTATCTGAGGAGGAGGGCCTATTGCTGGATCAACCCACATTCAAAGTGTTGTTTAGACCACACCTATTTAAACCCCTGTTGATTAAGGCTAAGATATCTACAAGACAGGGGACCTCTGTGGAGCAAGGGGGATCATGACCGGAGCAGGATCCTGCAGACCTGTTTTTTTCTGAGCCAGCAGTGGAGACTGAGACAATACTGGCTCCTCAATTATTTCTGAACATGATCAGGAAGCAATGGGAGGCCCCGGGCACTTACTCGAATATGTCTTCCTATGAGAGAAGATTTTATAATTTGACTCCAGATCTGACAGAGTTCCTTCGAGTTCCAGATGTCGATGAGCCGGTTCCGGCCCTAGCTTCCTCTTTGGCTATCTTGGCTCAACCAGAAGAAGTTTTGAAACCGGAGGACCGGAAGTTAGAGCAGGCCCTCAGGAGGGCACACCAGGCGGCTGCCTGGGGTATCAGAGCTGCTACAGCAGCATCTTTCTTTACTGCAAGGCCTCGTTGCTGTGGATCAAACAGATTCAGAACAAGGTGCCAGTGACTGACCTTAGGGCATATCAGGATTTCAATAAGGTAGAGGCGGCCGCAGAGTACATGGCGGCCGCTACTCTGGCCTCCGCAAAATTTGGGGCGAGGTCTATCGCATCCACAGTCACTGCCCGGAGGCTTCTTTGGTTGCGGAAATGGCAGGCAGACACCAAATGCAGGTGGCGCTTGGCTTTAGTGCCCTTTAAAGGTCCTAAGTTGTTTGTAGAGGCATTAGATCCCTCGTTGACAGAGCCTAAGGAGAGAGAGAAAGTACTGCCAGCCTTGTCATAGAGAGGAGAATCACGAGGATACACGCCCTATGGAAACCTTATTTCCGCCTCTACTGGGGTTCAGCTTTTAACAGGTCTCAGAGGGGATTCCAGACACAGGGAGGCCAGTCAGGACAATTTTACCAGTTGAGAGCAGGGTATAGTGATAGGAGTTGACCACGTAACCAGTCGAGGTGACCTTTTCGCGGAAGGAACAACTGTTCCTTTCGCAGACCCCGTTGACTACAGGAACAGGGCTCCCATTGGTGGCCATCTAGGCCTGTTTGCTGACCAGTGAGAGAAAACAATCTCCGACACATAGGTGAGGGAGACCATAACATTTTATCTCTCTCTAGAATTTCTTGCATCCCCCCCCCCCGGAGGTCTTTTTCCGTTGTTCCAGGTCTCGGGACATGGCCAAAAGAGAGATCATGGACACTGCAATTCGGCACTTGCTGGAAAACAAAGCAGTAGAGCCGTTCCTATAAAAGAACAAAAGGACGGGTATTACTCGATGTTGTTTGTCATCCAGAAGGCCTTGGGGGGCCTGCGACCAATTCTCAACCTGAAAGGCCTGAACAGGTATTTAAAGTATCAGAAGTTCAAGATGCACTTCCTCTGATCAATCCTAGCGAATGTCTGGCAGGGAGACTTCTTGACCTCCATAGACCTCATGGAGGCGTATTTGCATGTTCCAATACATTGGGACCACAGGCAGTATTTGAGGTTTTATTACAACGGCAGATACCTCCAGTACCGGACATTTCCGTTTGGTCTAGCATCAGCTCTCAGGGTCTTCACAAAGATCCTGGTGTCAGACTTCGATGCTATCTCAAAATAAATGAATTTCCAAACTGCCAATCTTTAAGGAAATCTTTTCTTTAATTGAGCACAGCCACCGGATCATGACTCGATGCTTCCGCTGCTCCTTGGCAGTTCAACTATGAAGTCCATAGCAATCTCCTCCCATGGCCTTGACAGTTCAGCTACTGGCTGCAGCAGCCCCGGGGGCCTTCCTGGTCGGGTTTTCATCGTGGCACAGATGGTACAACTTTTTACATAGCTGTCCACGTCTTTTCTCATGTGGGGCCACCAAAACTGTCTCCGAGCTAAGTGCAGAGTCTTTAGGAAGCCAAAATGTCCTGCTGGTTTGACATTGTGACTTCTCTTGAGGATTAAGGTGCGCAAGGTGTCTGGGACATAAAGTTTCATCCCTCTCCATGCTTACGGGGCTGCTGCAGCCAGTAGCTGAACCGTCAAGGTCATGGGAGGAGATTGCTATGGACTTCATAGTTGAACTGCCGAGGAGCAGCGGAAGCATCGAGTCATGATCCGGTGGCTGTGCTCAATTAAAGAAAAGATTTCCTTAAAGATTGGCAGTTTGGAAATTCATTTATTTTGAGATAGCATCGAAGTCTGACAGACGGACAAGACTGACCTTTTGCCCCCCAATCCCTCCCTTTCCGATCTCCAAATCTCTGCTTCTCATTGGCTATCTTCCAAGTCATTCTTCAGACTTCTTGTCTCGTCATTTCCCAGGAATGTCCTCCCCCTCCTCATTTCCACGACAACCCGACTTCAAAGGGATTTAGCAGGCAAAAGTTCAGATCTTATCTCTCTCTCCTCTGCTCTCTATGCCAGCGTTGAAGCGCTGACACCTGGCAGCGTTAGGAGCATCGCTCAGAGCAAAACCTATTCGTCTTCCGGCTTACCTGGACAACATTTTGGTGCAGTCAACCTCTCACAGGCAGGCAGTGGAGGATTTGAGAATCATGATACAATGTCTACAGACACATGGCTTCTCCATAAACATGGGAAAGAGCCATCTGGTTCCTACAAATTGCCTCTTACACCTGAGGTCAATTATAGACACGCTAGAAGGTCTGGTGTTCCTCTCTCCGGACAGACTTCAGAGTATCAAGGACCTGATTGCGCAAATTTGTTCGCACAGGAGAATCACTCTAGCGATCCTGTCGTCCCTGTTGGGCAAGATAATCTCTTATATAGAGGTGGTCCCGTGTGCAAGATTCCATGCCAGGCCTCTGCAATGGTTTTTGTTGCCGTTCCAGAGGTCAGGCAGGGCAACATCACAGGTCAAAGTCAGGGTTCCGAAGGATGTCCTAGCATCTCTTTGCTGGTGGACATCCAGGCACATGGAACAGGGTTGCCCCTTCTTGGATCAGGACCGCATTACAGTGACTGTGGATGCCAGTCTGTAGGCTGGTGGGCCCATTGTCGACCAGGTGACGCAGGGGACTTGGTCGAGGTTAGAGTCGCAGAAAAGCATCAATTGGCTGGAGATGAGAGTAGCCCAATTGGCGCTCAAGCACTTCAAATGTTGTCTAGTGAATCGCCATGTCCTTCTCATGACCGACAACGTAACAGTGAAAGCCCATATCAACAGACAGGGCAGCACTCGATCCAGGGTTCTAATGGAGGAGGCGAATCGCCTTTGTTGCTGGGCCGAGTCCAATGTGATTTCCATCAGGGTGGAGCACATTACAGGGATAGACAATGTAAGAGCAGATTGGTTAAGCATGGCGCCATTGGATCCCACAGACAATCCCGAAGAGATTGTGTGCCGATTTGGACAGCCGATCATAAACCTCTTTGCGTCACCAATGAACCATCAGCTTCCTTGCTATTTCTCCAGATTCCTGGCTCGGGGCAGAGAGGGTCAACGTCCTTCACTATCCCTGAGCCAGGCGTCTACTGTACGCATTTCCTCCGATGGCATTCCTACCACAGGTGATCGGTCAGATTCTGCAGACCAGGGCGGAGGTCATCCTTGTTGCTCCATATTGACCAAGACATGGTTCGCGGATCTGGTGAGCCTATCAATCGCCCGCCAGGGTATCCCTTAGCCAGGGGCCAGTTTACCATCCAGAGCCTCAGTAGCTACACTTGACAGCGTGGCGGTTGACCAGGGACTGCTGGAATGGCAGAATTTCTCTTCGGGAGTAATAAGGACGTTGCAGGCTGCCAGATGCCCATCCATGACACGTATTTATGACTACTTGGAGAACATTCATGATTTGGTGCACTGGCAAGAGCATTCAGGCCACCAATATCAAGGTCCAGCAATTATTAGAGTTCCTGCAAGCTGGTTTCGACAAAGGGCTGGCTCCAGCAACACTTTGGAGGCAGGTGGCAGCCATAGCATCTGTGTTAGTCTGTGGGGGAAGGTTATCCATGACACAACATCCAGATATGAGATTTCTAAGGAAGGCAACCAACTTGAGACCTGCGGTCGTTCACCTGGGACCTTCAGAAGGTCTTACTGGCACTTTCTAATGCCCCTTTTGAGCCAATTAAAACGATTCACCTGAACTTTTTAACATACAAGATACTGTTTCTGGTGGCCATCACATTGGCCCGAAGAATATCAGAGCTGGCCGCAATCTCCATGAGAGAAGAATTATGTGTCTTTCATTCAGATCGAGTTATATTGCGATTGGATCCGGCCTTTATGCCAAAGATCAACTCCTGGTTCCACTGGGCCCAGGAGTTGGTTCTCCCAGATTTTTGTCCTAATCCATCACATGCCAGAGAGTGCGTCTGGCACACTCTGGACATAAGGAGGGCTCTCAGAATTTACATTAAGAGGACCAGGTTGTTCTGACGTACAGAGGCCTTATTTGTGTCCTTTTTACCATCAACAATGGGACAGAAACTATCCGCTTTGGCGATTGGCAGGTTACTCAGGGCCACAATAGCCAGAGCCTATGAGGCTCAGTCATTGCCGCAGCCCAGGGCAGTTATAGCCCATTCGAAGAGAAGTGCGGCCACATCTGCTGCCTGGGCCACGCAAGCATCGGTGGAGGAGATCTGCAGAGCGGCGACCTGGTCAACTCCGTCGCCGTTCATACGACATTATAGGATTGACACATATGCATTGGCTGGGCGGCCTTTGGTTGGAGAGTTCTGCAGCATGTAGTAGAGATGCCAGAAGGACAGGACCAGATGATTTCTCACTCATGAGGACTACCAGCTTTGGTAAATCCCATGTCTGGAATCATGAGTTTTCTAACAGGAAAATGGGTGTTGGTTCTACCTGATACACCCCTTTTCTGTGGAGGAGTGACTCCAGCCCCACCCTAAAGCAGAGGTCTGGTCAGGGAGGTGTTCATGGGGTGTCATTACAGGTGCAGTATCCTGGAGCCTCGTTGGACTTCGTTGAAACTGGGAGCATCTGCAAAAGAGGACTTGAAGAAGTTTGAACCCAGTCCATAGAGCCAGAAGACAGAGTAATACCCATGTCTGGAGTCATTCCTTCTCCACAGAAAAGGGGTGTATCATGTAGGACCAAAACCCATTCTCTGAGCTTGGTTGTTTTCTTAAAGACTATTGCTTAACGCATTGTAAGCCGCCCTGAGTCTCTGGAAAAGGGCGGCATATTTATTTATTTATTTATTTATTTATTTATTTATTTATTTATTTATTTATTAGATTTTTATACCGCCCCCTCTCCCAAAGGACTCGGGGCGGTGAACAGCCAAAATTAAAAAACATACAATATAAACATTAAAATACGTTTAAAACAGAATTAAACCCAAAATGGCTCCCCAATTTAAAACGCCTTACCCATGACCCTATAAATAAGACGAATTTAAAATTTAAAATTTCCACATTTAAAAAGGGGGAAGATTTAGGCCAGGCCAGCTTGATAAAATAGATATAAATCAAATTTAAAAAAAAAAATTTCCCAAAGTAGGCAACATTATCAGTGCTAGAATCTTCAGACTAGCACTGATCATGTTACTTAGTTTGGGTAATAAAATGTCTGCAAGAAAAACAACCAAGCTCAGAGATCACCAAGGACCCCTCACCTCCTATGAGTACATCATAACTAGATAGTGTCTCTCTGGTTCACAGAAAATAACTTTTGATGTTATCTGTTGGGATAATGAGAGAAACAAAAAATGAAAAATCCATCTACTGGTTGTGTTGCAGCCATTTGGTGTGGTGCAGTGTGGCTGGGATGGTAGGTAAATTGTAGGTAAATGACGGAGTAGTTCTGGGTTTATTTCATGCTTTGTTTTTATTTTTACTCTTTTTTAATTAAATTAATAAGATACTTTTCTTTTATGACAGTTAAGGATGAACCACACTCCCTGATCAGTTATGTTCCACATTCCCAGAATACTCAGTCTTGCATATCGCAACAAAGTTCTTCATCTAACACAGATAGTTCTAATTCATCAAATTCCATGCCAGGCTTGCTACAGATAGCAGAAGCCAATCCAGGTAAGCAGCTGAGAGTTTTGAATCCTACTCATGATCAATTTGTTTTGCTATATAACTGGATCAGATCTCTAGAAATAACAACATAATTTTCACCAATGTGCATGCATTATTCTCTTTTACATATTTGTGTGAGTTATTTTATGGGGACATTTATAAAAAGAAATGTTTTTTTTTCTCAGGTAGCAATGTACAGACTGTCTATCACAAGGATTTATCTTCAAAGGGTGGTATACTGTAACTATTAATCATTTTATGGTTTCAGTTCATACACACTTTAAGATTGTAGAAAAAAATGGAAAGTATATAGAAGGTGGAACTTTTGAACAGAAGCTACATGTCACTGCAGAATTTGTGATTATTTTAAACAATGAGGATTATACCCAAAGGTGCTTTTTCAAGAGGCAACTGGACTTTCTGGTTTTTCTTTGAAGACATTTCGCTTCTCATCCAAGAAGCTTCTTCAGCTCTTGAAAAAGCCCCTTTGGGACAACCATGACCTTGATGACTGAAAATCTCCATAGACATTTAGTTATGCACTTTGGAATGAGGATTATAATTAATGCTCTGATATCTTGATTTACAACATTAAATAACATTTAAAATGTGTTCCTTAAAACGGTATTTAGAACAAAATGAGTATAATAAAAATGAAGTGAACATCTAAAAGAAATTGAACCTATCAGGAAAAAATAACCTTTTCGTAAGCTATGTTATACAAAACATTTGGAGATACATGTACAGAAGGCAGTTGTCTCTTTCATATTGGAGAGAACCACAAATTGGGACACACTGACTTTTGAAACACACTATCTGCTTAATAACCCTGGACAACAGTTTCCAAATGCTTTAGGTGACCCTAATATTTAGGCAAAACAACAAGATAGAAATGTTAATCTAAAGTTTGGGATTTTCACACTGCAACAATGTGTGTGGTCTGCTTTTCACCTTCAAATGATCATAACTGCCTATCATCTTTATCTAATAAAAGCAATGGCTGTGTGTCCAGATGTGACAAAAAGGTAGATAACACAATTAAGGATCTGCTGAAGGAAGAGCTAGTATATAGGAAATAATTGGAGAATACAGCTTTTATTTTAATAAAGGTGAAAGGACATAGTTTTGTTTTTGAAGTATCATACTAAAAAAATTAGGAAAATATGCTCTGTTCTCTTAAATTGCTCTGTGTAGTTTGATGTTATTTTTATTTTAGGACTGAGTCATATTTTTGTTGTTGTTGTTTCTTTCCTTCTCTATATTAGGCTTTATATTGAGGACTATGCAGTCACAAGATTTCGCTGTAGCTCATAATTGGATCCAAACTAAAAGAGAGAATATTGTCCATCAGATGACCGACACTTGCATTAACCAGTGTTTAGATGCCCTTCTTGCCAGGGATTTAATCATGAAAGAGGATTATGAACTTGTTAACACCAAACCTACAAGGACCTCAAGAGTCAGGCAACTGCTTGATACTACTGACAGTCAAGGAGAAGATGTCGCTAGAATCATAGTGCAAAAACTGAAAGATAACAAACAGATGGGACTTCAGCCTTACCCAAATATACCTCCTGTATCCAGGACCACTTCTTTGCATCTATAAATGTCAGGACTTGCAATCTGGATTTCTATTTCTGAAGTACCTCTTTATGTTTCTGATGCATGGTGCCATACTGAGGGTCTTAGTTTGCTGGCTGAGGGGGAGGGCATCTGGCAAATGGAAGTATTACACAATGTTCTTACCATTTTTAAAAATAACAACACACTTGGACTTTCCTCACTGAATACATTTGTGTTTTGTGGAATTGTTAAAAAGAAAATATAAATTATACAAAGAATATAAAATACAAAAGAATAGGCAACTCAAAAGGGCTTCCTATCTTTTGAAGCATTCTGTCAATCAAATCTGTCTTTAAATAGGGAAGGATTACTGGATTAGTGAATTAGTAGAAATGTTCTAAAACACCACCCTTTATAAAGTATTTTATATAAATAGGAATGACTTCTACATGAATTTGCTTGTCTTTAACCATGAGCTTTGTAGCAAAATAGACATGCCCTATTTGGTTATGTCGAACATTGACCAGACCTAATGAGACAAACCCCACATGTATTTTGGAATGCATTCACTACCGTTTGCAGCTTTGTAAAAGGGGGGGGGGGCAGTGGTCTGTAAACTCTTATTGAAAGGAACATGTTCTCTGTTTAAGATCTTTAAAGAACATCTCCAGACCAGTGCGTAAGAACATTAATTCCCCCGAAGAGCAGAACCTTGTGCAAATGAATTGTGCTGGAATTTAGAAAAAATCTATATGGATTTCATAGAGGCCCCATTGATTATAGCTCAAATTGTTCATGAATACTTTGCTAAGATGGAAAGCAATCCATGTTCAGTGTACCTTAACTCAAAAGTAGGTGTGGCAAGGTGGATATAACAACCACTTCTGCTTCAAGAAGAAACACTTTAAAGACACTGAGGAACTGAAGATAAGTGTGAACAATGTCTCCTCTTCATAAAATGAAGTTGCATTCCATATTCTAATTCTGTTTAGGTATGAGAGGGGAGGACAATGGCATCTTCTGAAAAGAGGAAAGGATTCTTCAAGTAGTCCACCTATGTGATAAATGGCAGAAGGATAGATTATAGTATAAAATATGTATGAATCATATAAAACCAGTCTGGTGTAGTGGTTTAGATGTTGGGCTAGAAAACAAGAAGTGGCTATCTAGTTGTAGTTCCGTCTTGGGCATGGAGCCAACTGGGTGACCTTGAGTCAGTTACTCTCACAGCCCTGGGAAAGAGACAGTGGCAATCCACTTCGGAATTCTTGCCAATAAAATTACAGGGATTTGTCCAGGCAGTGGCCAGGAATCAAATCTGACTCAAAGGGACCCCAAAATATTTCATACAGTTAATTCCTGATTTACTATCTATCATGATTTATATGAACAAATGCCTTTGAAGTTCTTCTCTTATCCAGTTAAGCCACCAAGGATTCTGCTGAATATAGTTTGGCGGAATAGAGCAGCTATGGCAGAAGAGAGACCATATAATGTTCTTTAGTAACCAAATAAGTTTTTTTTTTTTTAATTTATAGAATCTTAATTCACGTGTGACTGGTAGGATTCAAATACAGTTTCGTATACAAATGCAAATTGTGGCTGAACTAAATAATTCCAACTCCATAATTCTGTTTCTATATATCTAGATGGTCCTTGGTTTAAATATTGCTACAGTTACAGATTATTAAACAATATTAGGAAGCCAAAAATCTCTCAATTTCATCTGATTGATTGATTGATTATGCGCCATCAAGTCAGTATTGACTTTTGGGGACCATATTGGTAATTTTTTTTCAAAGTTTTCCTAACTTGGTCCTTTAGGTCTTCCAATGGTATACTTATCTCCACTGTAATCAAGTCCATCCACCTTACTGCTGGTTGTCCTCTTTTTTCCTTCCACTTCTCCCTATTTTAGAAGCCTTCTCTAGAGAGTTAGGGCTTTACTTAGTAAAGATAGGATAATTTTAGCCAGGTCATTTGTGCCTTGAGTGAAAATTCTGGGCTGTTTTGTTTAATGATCCTCCCTCCACCACCCTGCCTCAGCTGTCCATTGTATTCTTTTCCTACAACAGAGTTCAAAAGCATCAATCAGTATCTTGTTTCTTCAAAGGTCATTCCTTATTAACTACAAAATGGGAGACAATCTTGATCCACTTGACAATGTTGTAAGAATCCTTGAGAACGCATATGGGATATTTTCATAAATGCATTGGTGTACAACTTGAGGCTGTAGGGTTTCATGTACTCCACTAAGTCTAAGATGCAGCTCCCAGTATCCCTTCAAAATTAATGAATATACTGTACATGGAGTGATAACCAGTATTTAATTTAATTGTATTATATTAAAAGAATTTTTTTCCTAACTTCTGACAAACTTTCATATACAGCCTTAAGTTTACCTTTACAAATGTTGACTTTTGATGCATTATATTTGTACCTTATTTGAGATCTTACATTTAACGTTCAGCTAATGCCTGCTTGCTGCTTATGAAGATAAGACTTTGTCACCTAACTTTGTTACACCCTTGGTTTAACTAATCTATTCATTTCCCCCTGAGTTGGGAAAAGCTCTTCAATTGTTTGGGTGTGGCTGCTCAAGGCACTGCTATTTAATGGAGCCTGGTATTTTCTGCATGTCAACCACATGCTGGATTACTGAGATATTCCTTCTTTGAATACTGTTATCACCTAGATAAAGTGAGCCACAGTTATTTCTGGTACTTTCTTTACCAATCCCTTTCCCCTGTTATTCACAGAGTAGATGAACTGTCATTGGCAAATGTGAGTAGAGTATGTTATTTGCCAGCCAATGAAACCCAAGCACCTGCCCTCTGAAAAACATTGAGAGGATCTGATCCAATAAGTCATTGCTACCAATGGACAGGATGCTACCATATAACAGGATGGAAACTAATCAAGGAGAGAACCAACCTAAAGATAAATTTCCTGACAGTGTGAACAATTAATCAGTGGAACAACTTCCTCCAGAAGTTGTGGGTGGTCCAACATTGGAGGTTTTTAAGAAGTGATTGGACAACCATTTTTCTGAAATGGCATAGGGTTTCCTGCTTGAGTAGGCAATGGACTAGAATACCTCCAAAAGTCCCTTCCAACTCTGTTATTCAGTTCTGTTATAAACATTTCATCAAATTCCTTGAAACAAGGGTGTACCAAGCCAGGCTGAAGAACACCCCAAATTTTTCAGGCAGGCAGGCCTACTGATATGAACTTTAGCACTAGTATTTTGTTACAGATTCAAAGCACAGAGAGGAGTCAAATGAGGTAATGGTAATAGATGCAATGTCAGTGTCAAACGCTTTGTGTTAAGTGCCAAGAAGACGTCAGATATAAATATATTTACAGTTTGACATATTCGTGGCTTGTCAAAGTTTACAGTTTTAAAAATAATGGTCACGGATGTGTTCTAGCTAATGGCCTATTTTGGAAGAAAGAAGCCAGCAATTATTTCTGAAGACTATTATTAGCTTAGTTTAGGAGAGTAGAATAATCTTTACAAGCAGAGGACCAGCCAGCTACAGGTAATTCTCGACTTACAACAGTTCATTTAGTGACCATTCAAAGTTACGAAGCTGAAAAAAGTAATTTACGACTGTTTTTCAGTTACAACCTTTGTAGCATACCCCATGATCATGTGATCAAAATTCAGATGCTTTGCATGGCAACTGGTTCATATTTATGACCTTTACTGTGTCCCAGGGTCATGTGATCCCTTTTTGGGATCTTCTGACAAGCAAAGTCAAGAGGGAAGCCAGATTTACTTCACAACCGGGTTACTAACTTATCAACTGCAGTGATTCACTTAACAAATGTAGCAAGGAAAGTCGTAAAATGGGGCAAAACTCACTTAATAAATATTTCACTTAACAACAGAAATTTTGGACTCAATTGTGGTCATAAGTCGAGGACTATCTGTTCTAGGAGGCGGAAGTTGGGTCAAGTATAGGTAGTCTGACGGTTCAAAGTTACAGTGGCACTGAAAAAAGTGATTTGTGACCATTTATGACACTTAATGACTTATTGCAGTATCCCCATGATCGCGTGATCCAAATTCAGACTCTTGACAGGTGGATTATATTTATGAAGGTTGCAGTGCCCCGGGATCATGTGATCACCTTTTGCAACCTCCTAACAAGCAAAGTCAATGGGGAAGACAGATTCACTAATTTAACAACTGCCATGATTCGCTTAACAACTGCAAGAAAAGTTGTAAAATGGAACAAAACTCACTTAACAAATGTCTCACTTAGCAATATGAATTTTGGGCTGAATTGTGGTAGTATGTCGAGGATTACCTGCAATGCAGGGATGGTATTCACTTACCTTCGCTACCGGTTCGCAAATGTGAGCGCATGTGAGAGGCTAAAAAGCGGGACGTGATGACGTCCAGGCAGGTGGACGGAGTCTTCCACAACCGCCACTACCAGTTTGCCCAAACCGGATAGAACCGGCTGAATTCCACCACTGCTGCAATGCACTAAACAGAACAGTCTTGATGGTGTGGAAGCTTTATTGTACATTGCAGGTCACAAGGGAATGTCATCCTCTGATTGGGTAAAGAGTATAACGAGAAAATTACTCAAAGCAGAGAATTACAACTGTTTAGAGGGATCACAAAGATCGAGCTTTGAAACCTGCACATGAATGGTATTTATCAAAGGAAGAATGAGGTTTCACTTCGAACCACCAGTCACAGTTATGCAGTTCTCTGGCTTGTTACTCCTGTTGCATGACTTGCATAGCTGAAGTGTTCCAGAAGGAGAAAGTCTTAATCTGGACTGAACAATTGGGAAGGGGGGGAAAGCCCCAGAGGAAATAGCCAAAACCAAGCACTGCCTTTGTTACAGTATTTTGATCCAGCATATCACTTCTTTCCTTATTTTAATTTCTATCCACATTAAAATGTGATAAGAAAAAAAAAAGCATGCCTATGCTACGTTTCCCACCGCTGCTTGCTTTTGTATTTTTGATTACTCAGAAGCATTGCACGTGTGACTGTATGCACATATGTATCCACATTATAGTATGCACTAAACCAGAGTTGGGCTTCACATACTGTAGCAACTGGTTCGTGCATGCATGCGGTGTCACAAAACACAGCAATTTGCTCATGCGCACCATCCATACCTGCATGCAACATCAAACAACACAGCAATTCACTAGCACGCACCGTCTACACGTGTGCTGCATCAAAAACACAGCGATATAGGAAAGGATTGTGCCCGAGCAGGTGGGCGGAGGTTGCCACTACCGATTTGCCCAAACCGGTTTGAACCGGCTGAATACCAGCTCTGCACTATACTGTAATACAATAAGATTTAGAGGACTAACAGTCTGACATCTGCAGAATTTTGTGATCTCAACAGAAAGTAGATGTTTTGTTTCTCAGGAAAAGTCACTCTTTCTCTTCTTGCCCTATTCTAAAATGGAGAGGGGGAGCATCAAGATTTCTGCAGCATGGAAAATTGGGAGTACTGGGGTGTGGATAGAAAAGTCTCTGTGCACAGATCTACCTAATTCTGCATTCACCAGGACCTGAGAGGTTTTGTCCTCTTACGTTGGTGGGCATGAGGCCATCCTACTTTCAGAGTAAAAAGTTCTGCAAATTCTAGAATGCGTTATTGAATAACAGACTTGAAAGAATCTTGGAAATCATTATCCAGCAGAAAAAGAAGCAATGCCTGATATCATCTGGCTTTTCGTTCCCTCTTTCTTATTTATTGCTGTCTTAAAATAGCACAACCATTATAGAAGGAATAGAATTTCTCAGAACTGGAAATAGCTTCGCAGTAGTAAGCCCTCTCGAATTATAATTTTGCAATTGGTGGCAAGACAAAAACAAAAAAACTCACAGGTTTGTTTTTCGCGGATATATTTTGCCATGATTTCCTGACAGAATCTTTTGTAGCCAAGCAACCTGAATATTTAGTATAAAAAACTGAAGACTGTAGAGAGCCTGATTATGTAAGCATTGGATAAACCTTGGAAATTCTGTGTTTCAATGTTATTCAGAATTCACCTCTCTGATTAGTGTATCATAGAATTATAAAATTGGAAGGGACCTTGGAGATCTTCTAATCCAACCCCCTTCCCTGAGCAGGAATCCTCAAACCATTCAAAAAAGGTGATTGCTTGAAACCTTCTCTGCTTCCAGGAGGTAGATGTTCCACTGTTTAATAGCTCTCATTGCTAAAAAAAAAGATTCTTCTTTATTTCAAGCTTAGATAAGGTAGCTCTTTAAAGTGTCCACCTGTAGTTATACTCTCTTCCTATGATGGCTGTTTCAGTATTGGAAGATGGCTATCATGTCTGCTCCTAACCTTCTCATCTTTAGGCTAAGCATGCCCCGTTCTTTTGCAGTTCAATTTACAACCACAATAGCGACTGAAAAATTCATAGTTAACTGGTGCAGCTGTTAAATGAGACATCAAGTGATCACAACTTGTGACTTTCCTTGCCGGCTTCCCCACTGACTTTGCTTGTTGGAAGCTGGCTGGGAAGATTGCAAATGGCAGTCATGTGAACTCAAAATCTATATATATTTTTAAATGTGTTTTAATATTTGTATTTGGTGTTTTTATCTGGCTGTTCACCGCCCTGAGTCCTCAGGGAGAAGGGCGGTATACAAATTCATAGAAATAGAACAAAAAAAAAAAATAGAAATAGAAATAAAATACTGCAATCATCATAAATATGAGCTGGTTGTCCAGCACCCAGATTGGGATCATGTTGCTGTGGGGATGTTATGAGAGTTGTAAATGCAAGGACCAGACATAAGTCATTTTTCCCCAGGGCTGTCATAACTCAGAACAGTTGCTAAATGAATGGTCACAAGTTGAAGACCAGTGATAACTTCTTCATAAGACTTAGCGTTCAAGTTGCTCACTACCTTTGACACTGTTCTCTGTACTCTTTCCATTTCTTCAGCATGCTTCTTAAATTGTAGGAATCCTGGCGGTGCAGTGATTAGAATGTAGTATTGCAGGCTAACTCTGCCCACAGTCTGCAGTTCGATCCTCGATGGGCTTGAGGTTGACTCAGCTTCCATTCTTCTGAGGTTGGGAAAAGAGCCTCGGTGATGCAGCGGACTAAAGTGCTGTTAAGTGCTAGCACTTAGCTGCCAGCTGCCTGCAATTAGTGCAAGTTCAAATCTCACCAGGCTCAAGGTTGACTCAGCCTTCCATCCTTTCGAGGTAGGTAAAATGAGGACCCGGATTGTGGGGATGATAAGCCAACTTTGTATAGAACAGTACCACTTAGGGGGGGCCGAAAGCCCTAATAAGTAGGTATATATAAAAAAAGTATGCAGGCTATTGCTATAATGCATTGTAAGCCGCCCTGAGTCTACGGAGAAGGGCGGCATATAAATTGGACTAATAAATAAATAAATAAAATGAGGACCCAGATTGTTGGGGGCAATATGCTGACGTTGCAAACTGCTCAGAGAGTGCTATAAAAGCACTATGGAGCAGTATATAAGCCTAAGTGCTATTACTATTGCTTTTGTGCTGGCCAAAACTGGATGTACTATATTCTAGGTGCAGCCTAACTAGTGCAATGGAACAATGTCCTTGGCGTTATATCTCTGCTGATCCTGCTCAAGATCCTGCTGGCTCTTTTGGTAGCTGCAGCACACTGTTGCCTTATGCTTAATCTGTGATCTATCAGGACATCCAGATCCTTCTCACCAGTATTAGTCTTAAGCTACATACTTCCTATCATGTACCTCTGCATCTGTGTTTTGGCTGGGTTTTCCTACCTAGAACATAATCTTACATTTCTTGCCATTCAGGTGTGCATATTGTTGAATAGAGGCCAATATTCAGGTTTATGAAAAGCCTTTTGAACCTTGAACCTTTGTGGGAAACCAAAGCACCAAAGCTCCTTACATCCAAATATTTACTCTTCAAATGCATTCTTCTAGGGCTAGTTTCTATTAAAAAAAATCCCAAGCAATTCGGGTATGTGGAAAGAGTGGGAAGGGAGGGAGAAGAACTGGAGAAAGCAAGAGTCGGAATATAACTAGCAGATGCTGAGAATAAAAACAAGGGAGGGCCTGACTGACTTAGGTCATATCCCCATGGCTACTCTGCTTCCAGTTGCTCTTTGACTTTAGGGACACAAATGCATTCCTTGACTCTGGCTGGTTTGTTTTGACTGCCTCACAGTTTTCCAGCATTCATTAACTTCTTAAACTGCAGCTCACAAGACACTCCACAGGGACTGTTTTTCTACTCAGCTTCTTTGGCTGTTGTGTACTTTGCTTCTGGATGCCAACAAGCACGCTCTAAATAAGGGACTATATGACTGTGAGTAACATCTAGTCAGTGGATGTGCGGTAAGTCTTTTCTTTACCTGTTGGGGTTGATCTGAATTAATTTGAAAGAACCTTCAAATAGCATCTAAAGGGTGATCTCTACACACCTGGGGACATTGGGATGAAGCTAGGAAGAATTAATTCCATGAGAAATGAAGACAGGTGATCAATATTTTGATATCAGCAAGATTAGTATTAATCAACTATGGGTACCAGATACTAAAGAAGACCCACTCCCTAATCTTGCACATTATTCCTCCTAACCTTACATAAAATTGCTGACTGCATTTTTCACCAAAAGGCAGGGATAGGTAAGCTGGTACACTCAAGGTATTCTGGTTTGCAACTCTCACAGTTCCTTGTCACTGGGTACAACACCTGGAGGACATTCAGTCCAAAAAGCTCAGAAGCACCAGGCTGCTTCCTCTCCAATAAGACACATTCATTGGGAAGATGAAACAGTGACTGCTCCATCATCACTACAACAGTTAGAATCTTTCTGACTTCCTAATCCTAGCAAGGTTGAAGCAATTTTCCCTTCTCCCCTGTTTTGACTCAACATTATTGAGATATATGAACTGGGTGGTAGAAATGAACCAGGAGTTAACAAGTAGGGGAGGGGAAATAACTAGTAAGTACAATCAAACCCCTTCTTGTCATAAGGATGGAGTTATGGAATGGGATGAAGAAAACTGGGCAAATAATCTTTGATGTGAAATGCTTTAGTGGCATCATGAATAAGAATATAGGTTCATATGCTAGTCATTCTGATTTGCCACCTCAGTGCTTTGTCAGCTATTCTCCTGCTGCTCAAATAAATAGTCCTGGGAAATGGTGCCAAGGGACTAAATGGAAAGGATATGCCCACAATGGCCCAAATTTGCCAATAGTGCTGGATAGATCCCAGCCACTGACCATATAATCAACCATATTATTGTCAGAACATCCCACGTCATATTGACAGCCAAAAGAAGAAGGAATCAGCTAAAATGGATCAGCTAAAGTTAAATGTAAGTTGCTTCCACTGTTAACTGGAGCTGAAATAGAATCATTATAAGGACATAGTGGGGTACCTTTGCACCATAGTTAGGAGCATGGGAAGAAAAACCCTAATAATTCTACAAAAATGCTGTTTCAGACCCTGGCTGTATAAATGGAACACAACCATAACATCCAAGGAATCACACTAACCAACAAATCCTCTGTGCCTTTTTATACATTCAGTATTAATAAATCTAAATACCTTCATTACCCAAACTACATAACATCATCAAGGCTAGTCAGAACTTTTTCTAACTGTTTCTCTAAAATTCAACTTTCATTTCCATAGAGTATTACATGGAAAACCATTACCTGCACAATTTTTAAATCAGAACATCTAGATACTTTTTCCAAGACTTCATTTCTGTTTTATCAAAAGCTAATCTGTGATATATTTCTTGTCTACTGGGTTTTACTGTTGATTGTCAATCCTATTCACCACTTCAGTACCTTAATTGTCAATTCTAAGGTGGTTGTTTTACCTATTGATTTTAAAAAGAATTAACATTCCACTATATTCTGTTTTTGTTTAGAATAAACCACACATTTGTGTCCAGTTCTGGTAAACATATTTAAGAAAGATTCAAAGAAAAACAATGAAGATAATGAATCTACCGGAAACTAAATTTTACAAGGAGCAATGAAGAAATTAGATGTTTAACCCTGAGAAAAGAGGCAGGATATGATATCATTTTTGAAATATCTAAACAAAGAAGATTAATAGTTGGTCTTTATAACAGAGTTCAAGACAGAGTTAATAGACTGTTATGGGGGGGGGGGGAATCCTAAAAATAAGTACAGTTGAACAGAGTAGTAAAATCAAATACTGGGTACATAACAGTTTTCAGCAGTTTTCATAACAGCTATAATATGTAGAGATCACAAACCAGATGTCTATCACAGCATCAAGCTGTAAAGTTGCCAGCAAACTGTTGAACCCACCTTAGGATGAACTTTTGTTTTTCTCTTTGGATTCAGAAAGTTAGACATTCAGGTAGACTCTTTGAAGTATATGAAGATTGCTTTAGACAGGTACGCTTCCCTGAAATTACCACAGAAATGAAGAAGGCAAACAGAACCTTTACTCATTGCCAATTCCACTTCTATTTTAAACGGGTTTATCTATGTAAATACATAGCTGACAATTCTTTGAGTTAATAATGCTGTAAATTACATCTTTGTGGATTCCTACTGAAATCAACAGAAATATTCCAATCAGAATGTTATACATTCATTGTAATATCTTCCCCTGTGATCCCTGACTTATTATGTCATGAGATTGGTTTATTGTTGATCTTTTCTTCTGGCTTGGCTGATTTTTGACTCTGAATTAGTGACTCATGATTGAATTCCTTTCTGCTCATACTTCCATCTAGCCTTAATTTTACTCCTTCCTCATAAAACAAGTTGGTTTATGTTTACACCCTCCTTAACATTTATTTTCAAACCTGGGTAAATTGGATAAAAAAATTGGATAAAAGTGATTTTTCTTTGGGTAATGATACATGAATCCATCAGCCAATCACAACAGGGATATTTAAATAAGGGTTTTCTGATAAGTGGTTAAAAGGACTTTCTGATAAGTAGTTTAGGGGTATGAAGGAGAAGGTTTAGGAAGCACTGTTGTATAAAATATTTAAAATCACCCATTTTACACTGAAATCAAAGGAACAACTAAAAATCCTATGAATGTGGAGCTGATCCCTGACCACATAAAGCAAAGTCTCTCTTAAAATGAGCTCACATCCTGTTGAATTCTTTTATTTTTAGCAAGTACAGTACATTTGTGAGATATTCTGAACACAACAAGAGTCTGGTAGCCCCATTTCAGCATTTTTTTCACGACCTTATGACTTTTAATGAAATTTAGTAGTCTGAAAAGGGGCTACTAGACTCCTTTTGTTGTGTTCTACATTCCTAGGATTCTTTTTATGGCTACCATAGACTGACACAGTTCTCCTGCAATATCTACAGAAACTAAAGCTTGGCTGTAACATCAACAGTTACGGCTCATTAGTACATTTGAGCTGTTTAGTGGAAGAGAGTTTATTTTATTGGTTGTTGTTGCAGCGGCTCATTGTGGATTTCCTGCTCAAATAGCAGCACAGAGAAGGGGGAAGAGAAAAAGCGAAGAGGCTATTCATATTCATATCAGTTTCCACTCTGCATCAGGCAGCTGTTTTGCTCTGTTGCTTACTTAGAGTGAGATCATCATTCCGTTTCTGAAGTTACAGCAGCTTTCCCTCTAAAGTAAGGAAGATATCGTTCATGGGTGAGCCTCAGTATTACTCCTTTTTACCCTTACTGACTAATTTCAGGTAGGAATGACTTTTCCTTTTGATATTTTCAGTTGTTAGAAAGGGGCCATCGAGAGGGTAAAGCAAAGGGCGAGGATCTTGTTGTTCAGATTACACTTAAAAAAATGTTCATTGGGAAATATACTGTCTTAACTAGCCCTTTCCAGATACTTGGGACTACAGCTTCCATCCGACCCCATCAGTATGTGTTGTAGTCCTATTGATCTGGTAAGTGCCAAGTTAGAGAAAGTGAAACAGGAACTTTTCCAAAATTGTAGATAAGCAGAAACATGGTGTGTGACGCTAGGAAATATTAGGACACTGCATATGAAATTGCATCATCCATTCAAACGCTTCTCTTACTGCTTATTTTTCATCAAACTCAATAGCTATATTGTATACTAAGGTCTGCTATATTTGATCTCATGCATGGTTTGGTATAGCTATTTTTTCTACCCATTAATTATTCACCAACTATAGTAGTAAAGGCATTTCTATTATATGAGACATTATTTAAGAGTGTTTTATTTCATTGGTATACATAGGCATCTCACCTAAGTGAAATGTCAAAAGCAACAAACCCCTAACTGATGACTTACCTCCATTTGTTTCTGAAGATATTACTTTAAGTAGGCAAGAGGTGGTCAACTCAAATGAACTTTGCATAGGTTTCATTGCCAATTCATAACAAACACAACGAGCAAGCAAACAAATATTTATAGATACACCGCTGTGAATTCGAACAAGTGCTTTGTTTTAGATGAAAAACCTTAGGGCAATATATGCTATCTCTTAGGAAAGTTTTCCTAAGATTAAGATTTGTTTTGAAAGTAATATTTTGATGAAAACCATAACAGCCAGGCGGTTTAGTATTGTAAATCTATTTAACTGTCCATGAGCTCATCCAGTACTGTAAAAGTAGATAAACAAATGTTCCTCTGATGTAATTCTCATAGTTTGTTGTCACTGGACATACTGTCCAAGGCTTATAGGAGTTGAACTCCAAAACAAATAGAGATCTACTTCTAGTCTACATACTTTCTTTCTGGTCACCAACAGTAAGCAATATCAACTTCACCAGACCAGGAACTGGGAGTAGAGAAGAGAAAGAAGGCCCTACCCAGAGGAATGAAAGAAGAAAGAGAACCAAAGAGATAAGAGAAGACAGAATTTAAACTGAGTTCTGGCTCAATCGTCAACTGAAGTAGTAACGATAGTGAAAAGTGGAAGATCAAGGTAGAGTCACAAACCTGTGATATACCCTCAATATGAACAAAATTATTATATAATTTTTTTGTGGACTACAGTCACTTTCACATGAAAGGGTACTTTCTTGATTCAACAAAAATCTATATAGATTTTGTTATGAAGAATAGGACCCCATTTATTAATTTCTTATTAATATTATGTATCTTCATCCACAACATAAATCCATTTTTTTTTAAAAATTTGATTTATATGCCGCCCTTCTCCGGAGACTCAGGGCGGCTTACAGTGCGTTAAGCAATAGCCTTCATACTTTTGTATATTTATACAAAGTCAGCTTATTGCCCCCACAAACTGGGTCCTCATTTAACCTACCTTAGAAAGGATGGAAGGCTGAGTCAACCTTGAGCCTTGGAGAGATTCGAACCAGCAGTAAATTGCAGGCAGCTGTGTTAATAACAGGGTGCTTTAAACCACTGTAGTACCAAGGCTCTTTCCCTTGGTCTTACTTTTTTCAATTTTTCCTCTACCACAATTATTTTTTAAAATAATTTCTTTTGCAATTTAGAATCATTCTGCATATTTACTGAAGTAATAATTACAAAATGCAAAGTAATACTAAAGGGAGGTTACACCAAATGATATTGCTAGTTCACATTATAAACTTTTTGTGAATGAAAAAAAGATTGTTATTAGTTTAAGCTTTTAATATTCATTTAGAAAAGATGCTTCACATTTTTGGACAGATCATTCTGCCCCAGTTTATTCCCATCATTTCATCAAGCCACCCATCAAATAAACACATCATCATCACCATCACTAAATAATTTTATTTTCTTACTTTTCTCCTTGCACGCCCCCCCCCCCCGAAGAATATAATCTAATGGGCTCAAGTATTGTACGTCTGATTTTTACTGTGCTGCTTAATTTTTTTGGGTGTTTGTCAAGAAAAATGAGCAAAGTAATATGCCCTACAAAATAGGGCATACATTTCAATAGACTTTCTTTGGTTGTTTTGGTAATAATAAGGTAATTATTCTGACAAACAATAGCCTGACTTGAAAGAAAGTATCCCACCACATTTTCAATACATTAGATTTTAAAGAATTATCTGAATTTTCTTTGAATCCAAATGTATGGAGGATGGCATGCAAACAAGGAAAACAAGATTGAAAATAGTTTTGTGCAGACTTTCCCCTAATATATACTTTCCCTAAACAAAGAGCAAATCCTATACTCACTCACATTGATGATGTTACCTAGTTGGTTAATGAAATGTCTGCAAGATTCAGTTCAACCCTGAGCTATATATATTCTATACTATTGATTTACTCTAATTGCATTTTTTTAAAAAAATGGTGGATGCAAAATTTGGAATCAGGAGACAAGTGGGGAATAATTAGAATTTTATTAGTTTAAAAATGTGTTATGTTCATGTTCAAATATGAACTGAACAAATTGATCCCCTGTCCCTGCTGACAGTCAATCTGGAATGACTTCTCTATACATAGCTTTAGCTTCATTCTTCCAAGATCTTTAATATCTTGGTTTCTTCATTTTAGCAGAGGAAATCTGTGAAGGTCTATGTTGATTCTTAGCTATTTTTTTTGTCATTAAGGCAAATGTGAACATTCAGGAGTAGAGTTATTTCTGCCAGTAAAACGTAGAGTTAATCTCTGTATGGTGGAGCTTGTTTGTTGTAATACACTAATATCAAAATAAATAAAGAAACTACAGTTTCATACTATGGGTTACTTGTGGCAGGCTAGAAATTTTGGCTATCAATTTGACATAATATAGCTGGGCTCACATTTTAAGTCACGTTAGTCACACTTATTTTAATCATGATTTTTCAACAAGCTTCATTGACTTTATTCACAAAAGATGCTAAACCAAATCGCATTGTGGGTTATTATAAGAATCCAATTATAATCTCTTGGGTCAAAGGAAAGCTGGAATGCATAAAGTACGACATGCATGAATTAGAAAATGTCTATGGGCCAGCTATATGGCCTGGCCTAAATCTTCTCCCTTTTAAAATTTTTAAATTTAAATTTAAATACTAATTTTAATTTGTTTAATCATGGGATATTTTAAAATTTAGCCAAATTGTTTAATCTGTTTTAATCTATTTTAAATTTTGTATTTCTGTGTTTTATTTTTTGGCTGTTCACCGCCCTGAGTCCTTCGGGAGAAGGGCGGTATAGAAATTTAATAAAATAAAAATAAAATAAAATAAATATATTCATGCTCAATATGAAAAAAAAAAGCTGTGATAGCTGAGGTTATTCAGTGTTTTCATTGGCTGAAAGAAGATACTTTATGTTGTGTAATAGGAAGAGAAGTGGAGGAAGTGGAGATTAACTCCAAGGCCATGTTTATTTCGTTTATTTATCCCATTTAGAAACCCCTCCATCTCCCTCACAGAACGACTCTAAATGGTGTACAAATAGACATAAAACATAAAAATTATAAGTACTATAATAAAAACAGTTAATAATATTAGATGGCTACCTCACGTGGCTGAAGCTGGGAAGTTGGAAGACAGATTTGAGGAGATAATTTTTGATGCTCCAGAATCTGATAGGGTTTCCTCAGATGTTATAACAAAAAAACCTCATTTTTTTCTTCTTAGTGTTTTCTTACAAGTGCAGGGTATGTTTTTTTTCCCAGATCAACCAAGTGTTGATCCATTGGAGGCAACAGGAATTGATTGACTGACTGACCTATTACTCAAGCCTGACATTGTGAGCTAAGAAAAAGTGACTTCCAATTGCATTGAGATTCTACCTTTTGTTTGAGAGCTTAAAGTGCCTTCTCTGGCTCATATCTTCTAATTCCCAATCATGTGGGTTGCCTGAAAGACAGTGACTGGTCAAAATTTTCCAGGAACTGTTCTGATCCACTTTAGCAACACTGAAACAAATCAATTATCCCACTAGTAGTATTCTGCATGTAGAAATGCAAGGAATACTATATTAGCCTTCAAAAAATATTGAGTCAAATCTTGGATAGTTCCTTCTATGGTTTTAACATACAGTGCTCTCAAACGAAAGTTCTCCAAATTAAGTTTCCATGTCTATTATACAAAGTAAAGGTAGTCCTCAACTTTCAACAGTTCATTTTGTGATTGTTCGAAGTTACAACGGCACTGAAAAAAAGTGACTTATGACCATTTTTTACACTTATGACCGTTGTAGCATCCCTATGGTCACATGATTTATATTTGAATGCTTGACAATTGGTTCATATTTATGACGGTTGCAATGTCTTGGGGTCATGTGATCACCTTTTGCGACCTTCTGACAAGCAAAGCCAATGGGGAATCTGGATTTACTTAACAACCATATTATTAAATTAACAACTGCAATGATTCACTTAACAAATGTGGCAAGAAAAGTCGTAAAATGGGACAAAACTCACTTAACAAATTTCTCACTTAGCAACATAAATTCTGGGCTCAATTGTGGTCGTAAGTCGAGGACTACCTTTAATAGTTAAACTTTATGTGGTGCCTATCACTGCTTAGGCTTCTAGTAATAATTAATCACACTAATACTATGTACTATGTATTTACTAGTATTTTAAATTTCCAACCAAAGCCATTAAACTTTTGTTTTTACCTAGGAAAGGTCTGGAATCAGTGTTTCAAAGTCTGCTTTTCATGAACCATAAAAACATAACTTTATTATGAAGACTTTTCTGCAAAGACAAATACCTCTTCTAATCATGAATTTTGGACTTAATGTTTTCTTTCTTCTCCTGTCCGCTATCCAAGCAAAGCACTCTTATTTTATAAAACAAGTGCATTGCAGGTGTACCTGCAGTGAGGGGCAGTTATGTGTAGGAAAAACCCTGGATTACCAGAGGTTGTAGCCTTAGACTTGGGTGAAAACGTGATGGGATTCTGTGAAAGACTAAAGAAATAAACAAAGAATTCACTTGAATGCAGCCATTTTTTTAATTACAAGAGTTTTGATTACGGTTCTAGATGATGGTGGTGATTATTATTATCAACTAACATATTTAATGGCTTAAACATATTTGAAAACTCCTGGCCTAGAGACACCAGAAATGAACCTCCATGAAATTAAAGTGTTATAGTATAACTATTCCTTGTTTCCGCATTTTTTTCCCCAGACAAAACATTATCTCCTTCTTATTTCCAGGTAATGATTAACTGAAGATGACGGGTCCCTGGACATCATGTTGCAATAAAAAACATAAATCCAAGAATGAATTACAGGAGTTGGACTCAGTGGCAGAGAACAAGAAGGAAAAAATGCAAATGAAACAAGAAATCACCTTGCTTAACGGCATTTGTTTAATTGTAGGGAACATGATTGGATCAGGAATATTTGTATCACCCAAGGGTGTGCTGATGTACAGCGGCTCGTATGGACTTGCGCTTCTCCTCTGGGCCCTTGGTGGGGTCTTCTCTTTGTTTGGAGCATTATGTTATGCTGAACTGGGGACATCCATACTTAAATCAGGAGCAAGCTATGCCTACATTCTAGAAGCTTTTGGAGGATTTATAGCATTTATCAGACTATGGTCTTCCTTGTTGATCATTGAACCTACCACTCAGGCAGTCATAGCGATTACTTTTGCTAATTATATTGTGCAGCCAATATTTCCATTTTGTGAGCCACCCTATGGAGCAGTTAGGTTGATTGCAGCGGCCTGCATCTGTAAGTAAAATTTTACTTGGTCCTTGCAATTATTTGTTATATAGTGCAGTTTTAGAATGTAATACATTTTATTGATTTTCAGAACAACAGTGAGCCAAATAAATTCCAGAATCTGCCATTTTATCAGAAGAACTTTCTAAATTCTTATTAGCTTAGTAGACTTGATTTGAAAATGAAAGCTGTTAAATATGAAAGGTTTTTGTATAGTTTCCTGTTAACTACCAGAGAGGGAAGAGTCTGTATGCAGGGGATTTTAGATTTTGGTTTTAATTGGGAATGTCCCAGTGGTGGGTTTCAAATTTTTTTACTACCGGTTCTGTGGCCGTGGCTTGGAGGGTGTGGCATGGTTTGATGGGCGTGGCTTGGTGGGCATGGCAGGGGAAGGATACTGTAAAATCTCCATTCCCTCCCCAATCCAGGGGAAGGATACTGCAAAATCCCCATTTCCTCCCGATCAGCTGGGACTTGGGAGGCAGAGAATAGATGGGGTGGGGCCAGTCAGAAGTTTTACTAGCAGTTCTCCGAACTACTCAAAATTTCCGCTACTGGTTCTCCAGAACTGGTCAGAACCTGCTGAAACCCACCTCTGGAATGTCCTCTTTAGATCTTGATTATTGATTTCATATGTGATAAAACCAAACAGAACAGAAAACTGGAATTCAAAGGCATTGGCTAATCTAGTAAGTCATCAATTACATTATTATTTAGAGTGGGCAAGATCCAAAATACATAGGCCAACTATATAGCTCCATGTGTGAGAGTTAAATATGCTGCCCTGGAATGTGAACCAATATTTCATGTTAGAAATTATCAAGTAGTATCATATTGGACTAACTGTATCTAAAAATAATTTGAGCCTACCCCTTTTGTCCTTAAACCCAACATTATAACCTTGCACATGCGATCTAGATCAGGGGCCTCCAACCTTGGCAACTTTACGACTTGTGACTTCAAGTCCCAGAATTCTGGGAGTTGAAGTCCACAAGTCGTAAAGTTGTCAAGGTTGGAGACCCCTGGTCTAGATGATGGCAATCTGGTGGCTTCCAGCTATTTTGAGCAGCAAATTCACAATTCATTATTATTGGTCTTGCATCTAAAAATGGTCATATTTTTATATTATTATATATATATATATAGCACATAACTGAAACTGAACTTCTTTTCACCATCTCAATACCCTTGTAATAACATTTGCATTTCTGCTCTTTAAAAATGGGAAACTGAAACGAAACAGAAAGGTTTGCCAAGCCCATATAAGTTAAATATCTGAGGAAGGAATTCAAACAATTGTGCAATCATGCCAACATTTACTGAAAATCATAGCACTGTGTGATTTATTTCTCTGAAAGTATGTGCAGTATTGTAACAAATCCTCACAATTTCTCTTAATCAGCCCGATGGCGAAATAAGAGGAGGTTTAGGATGGCATTTCTTCATGGTTTACTCATGTGATCTGACTGACAAATTCTTTCCATCCTAAAACTGGCAAATCTGGTTAAACTTACTTGGAAATTATACCATTATCCATCAAATATAAATCATATTTTCTTTAAAGAATAGCTTATGTTGTTCCAGTTGTTTTGGTTTCTGCCTCCAACTGAAGGAATATGGAGGAAAGATATGGACTCATTTATTTATATCCTGCTTGCAAATTTGTTTTTGGTCTGCATTGGGCGCTCACCTGTACAACTAGTCCTTGTTTAGCAACTGCCTCTTTAAGTGACTTAAGTGACTGTTCACAGTTTATGACCAATCCCTGCACTTACAAAGGTCTATAAAGCAAAAAAAAAAATAAAAAACGCTGAAATATGGTCATAGGCACAATTGTAATTTTATTTAGGAACAGCTCCTCTTAACAACCAAGTTACTGATCCCAAATATGGTCACTAAATAAGGCCTACCTGTAGTTCTATAATACATGCACCTACATTTTCGAAAAACAAAACAGCCAGGCTGTTCAAAAGAGATATTTCAAATAGCTTTTGTATTCTAATTAAATTCTAACAAATTTGTTAGAATTTTGTATTCTAACAAAGTTTATTATGTTTGTTTCCTGTTTTTTTTGTAAGGCTCCCTGACTTTTATTAATTGTGTCAATGTGAAGTGGGGAACCCGAGTACAGGACATTTTCACATATGCAAAAGTGATGGCTCTTATCATGGTCATAGCTGTGGGCCTTTATAAAGTTAGTCAAGGTAAGAATGAACTTATTGTTATAAATATGGCAAAGTAAATAGTAGATAGAGGCAAACATTGATTTTAAATCAGATTTTACTTTTTGGCTCTATGGTATGAGTGTGTGTGTGAGTGAGTGTGTGTGTGAGAGGGTGTGAGTATGTGTGTGTAAGAGTGTGTGTGTGTATTTGACATTATCTATTCAGTGGTGAAATCTAAAATTTGTTACTACCGATTCTGTGGGTATGACTTGGTGGGAGGGGGTAATGTGACTGGGTGGGCGTGGCCAATTTTTTTTTTATTATTTTTAAAACCATTTTTTCTACAACCTCTTCAGCGAAGAGGTTGTAAAAAATGCTTTCAAAAGGCTCTGATGATCCCAGCTGAGTTGCCTGATTGGCAGAGGCTTTTTTAAAAAGCCTCTGCCGATCAGGCAACTCATCTTGGATCGTCAGAGGCATTTAAAAGAAAAAAAGGGGTTTTTTTTCTTTTAAATGCCTCTGATGATCCAAGCTGAGTTGCCTGATCATCAGAGGCTTTTTTAAAAAGCTTCTTGCCTGATCATCAGAGGCTTTTTTTTTATTTTTAAAAGCATTTTTTTCCACCGAAGAGGTTGTAGAAAAAATGCTTTTAAAAGTAAAAAAAAAAGCCTCTGATGATTGTGAGGCTCAGCTGGGCATGGGGGGGCAGGGATTTTTGCTACCAGCTCTCCGAACCACCCGCCTCCATCGCTACCGGATCAGGCGATCCGGTCTGAACCGGGAGCATTTCACCCCTGGATCTATTCCTGTTATGCAGGAAAAAAAATATTTTGATCCATCTGCAGTAATTTCTAAGGTCATGAACCTCTGAGCACTTTGTTTCCATACAACTCTTGTTTTCCAATATATACAATTTTCTGAATAACTTCATATTGGACATGCAGATCAGATAATGTAATAAATTATATTATGTAATTATTCCTATGGCTGTAGACCAGGAAACACCAAAATAATTCAGTTTTTAAGACTGGATAAGACAACCTTTATCAGCATCCAATCCTTCTTGAAATCCATTTTTTGAATTGTGTCAAAATCTTAGTCATCATTATTTCCAAAAGCACCTTTAACCATGTACTGCCAGCAGATAATTACTAGAGCAGGTAACTACTGAGCAATCCAAGTTTTTGCAAGTTTTTATTTTATATTTTATAACAGGGAGCTGCTCTGAGTTCATTTTTCTTTTTAAATATAATGAGGGCAAAGTAACTCCACTAAAGAAAATTCTTGGAAGGACGTGTCATCGTATAGGACTTGCTTTCAAGTGGTGTATCTTTGCTCACATAACTAAATAACAATCTTTTGTCACTTTTCTCCTCTGATGCCAGAAAGCTGGTATGAACAGACTTCCTTCCCAGAAGGATAAAAAGAATTTACAAGCAATATAACCAACTACAAATTAAGTTATGGAAAGGGAAAATGTTACCATGATTTTTGTGCAGTGAATATTTCAGTTCTGCTCCGTTTTTACCTGAATATGTATAAAGTGCCTATATGCCTACATTTAAACAAAACCTGAAACTTCTGATGTTTCCACAGGAAAAACTGACAACCTCAAGGAACCATTTGAAGGTTCCACAACAAATGCAGGATTTGTTGCACTTGCTCTTTATTCTGCCCTCTTTTCCTACTCTGGATGGGATACATTGAATTTTGTCACTGAAGAAATGAAAAACCCAGAAAGGTATATGTTTGTTCTGGATAAATATAGCTCCTCCTCCTCTTTTTGCATCTGACATGATTTTTTACATGTACATATATGTAAGGTCAGTAATATAGCAAGATACTTTTCTATACAAACCGCTGTATTAATATTTGCTTTATTCCTTTGGATTTATCCTTAATTCAGGTGCATTTAACGTATTCTGCTGTTTGTTTGTTTGTTTGTTTTTCTTTCTTCAGAAACCTTCCACTTTCCATTGCAATATCAATGCCTATAGTGACTATTATTTACTTGCTGACCAATGTGGCCTACTATGTCGTGTTGGACATGACTGCTCTCTTAGCAAGTGATGCCGTGGCCGTGGTATGTGCATTATAAATTGTTGGGTGCATCTGATGGGCAGCCTTCTCCAATCTCAGGAAATCTACAGGTATTGAATTGCAACTCCAAGAATTTCAATGCATCTGGAGAACGGCAGGTTGAAGAAGGCTGACCTGAGTAATAAACACATTATTATTACCATGCAGTCCAAACACAGTGCTTCTTTCATCAAAATAACAAAAAACAGTGCTGTGATATTGTACCACATTTATTTATTTAGCGTATGGTTGGTCACACACATTATTAAAACACTTCATTTTTACAGGTTAAAAACAATTAAAACAATAAAAAAGCAGTAAGAAAACCTAAAAGGAAAACAGAAATAACATTTCACAGTTTAATGTCGAGTTTGGAGATCCAGTCAGTAGCTGCCGTTGTTATGCAGAGGAAATCCCACATGTGTTGTACCACAACACCATCCCTTTGGGACCTGTGTATGATGTCATGAGGCACATACAAAAGCACAGGATGAAATGGCACAGCATTGTTTTCATCAGACTCATATGTTTTACAGGTGCTTCTGAACCAAACTTCTCATGTGTTCAAATTCCCTTGTAGAATTTCCTACTGCTATGGGAAATCTATGTTGGGTAGGGACAGCAGGTGACTAAACCAATTACACTCTTTGCTGATTATAAATTTTAGTAATCTAAATAGAAATATATATTAGAAATATATATTAGATTTAGTATCAGCTCATTTTCTTAGATGCTTTGTCACAAGTAGCAATATTTGCAGAAGAAAACTTCAAGCTCCGGAAAAGCCAGATAATTTAGTAATTTTTCAGTATCAGTAGAACAAGATGACTGAATTTTTTTTGGCCCATTGGAGATAGGAGAGGTATTGCAATTGTTTAAGGGTGCAAATGCAAGCAAAAATCACCTGGTAAACAAACCATTATTTTCATGTAAACTGAACATTCCCCTCCCCCATGGTCTGAAATATTACAAGCAAAATGCAATCATTTTGCTAATGAATTTTAGGTCTTGCTGGATGCTCAGAGCTGCATACAATTCATTGGTTGCCTGTTTTTTTAAAGATTTATGAGATGGCAATTTATGGATATAGCAATGCCTTCTTGTTTTCAAGTGATGGAATTTATTATGAGTATAATTCTGAACTAAAAGATAGTAAATATGGAAATGAGATATATTTGCATATATTTTGCAATCTTTGAAGCGTGAGAGCTTAGAAACAAAATTAGACATTTTTATCAGTGATTAAGGGACAAAAATAGAGATAGACAAATTAGTCAGAACATGTAGAAGAGCAATAGTTAAGAACTAAGGCTCTGGGAATTAGACAGGAAGCTGTTAGAAATTATCACTAAGTAACATTATCACTGCATTGCAAATATAACCTCTTGATTCTGAATTAGCAAGTCTGAGTCTTACTTTTAAAGTGAGTTATTATTCTGAAGGAGCAATCCATGTTTTGGAAGCTATCAAATGATCTTCTTTGGGAATACTTCGACCCTTGGGTCACTTTACTTAGAGCAGTAAGTTCCATAGACCTTAAACAAATGACATAAATAGAAGGAGACACAGGACTCCTTTCCCATGAATTGTTGCTTCTCATCCAACACTCGAATCCAATGTTGATTCAAAAACATCTCTTTCGAATTACAGCATGGTCAATCTGACCTTCGAACACTAAAGTGGAATACTGGTAGAAAGCAGAACAGAAATATCAACTCTATATCAAGAATCATCAGTATGTTGCCAATAGGTTTCCACTAGGTTCCATAAACTTGGTTCATTTTTTCCCCATTTTTATGTACATTATTACAATGATATTAAATAATACATTATCTTATTTACAAAATAATTAAAATTTACAGCTGACCTGTTGCAAAACAAAATTTTAATAGGTATCATTGTCATCCTAAGAATGATTCTGGGTTCCACATGAGACCCATAAGTATACTTATAAAATGAATGGTGTGCTGTATCAAAGTTTGACTATCCAACTGTCCAGGACAACCATAACAACAACAGAAGGATAGGAATCCTCCTCAAGGGCTGGAGGAACTGATAAGCACACTCTCTGGTTTGTGTTTTGTCAATGGATGTTTTATTATTGGTCACAACACACTTGAAAACGACTTTCTATTTAATAGCTTTGACTAGCTGGTAAGAATACCTCATTATCACTCAGGAAAAGCTTTTATTTAAAGTGGTAGAACCAAATTATATTTTCTACAACATACATAATGCACATAAGTACTCAGTATTGTTAATTTTCTCCTTCCTTTGTTTTCACTCACAGTTAAGTTGATTATTGAGGGGTCCTTGGTGCTCTCTGAGCTTGGCTGTTTTCTTGCAGATGTTTCAATACCCAAACTAGGTAAAATCATCAGTGCACTGATTACATTACGTAGTTTAGGTAATGAAACATCTGTAAGAAAACAACCAAGCTCTGAGATCACCAAGGACCACTCATTTCAACCCTGAGCTACAAATATTCTCCTTTGTAAGTTGATTGTTCTTCCCTGTACCATATACAGTATATACATATCTTATGGAACTGTTAGAAACACATCTTTAATCTGGTCACCTCTAGATACAGTTTGGACTACAATTCCCAGCCTATATAAAGAGAAGACATTATTTGCAATGTAGTTGGGAATTCTTGACCATGTAGTTTCAACACTTCAGGAGAGAACCATGTTAGGAAAGTTTTTGTAAAACAAATAAGGGTGAAGGTCATTCAGTTGTGGATGACTCTAGAACAAGGTGCTCATCTCCGTTTCTTGGCCAAGGTAGCCAGTGTTATCCAAAGACATCTTCCGTGTTCATGTGGCCACCATGGCTATATGTCAAAGGTGCATGGAATACTATTACTTTCCCAACGAAGTGGTAGCTATTAATCTACTCACATTTGCATGCTTTCAAACTGCTAGGTGGGCAGGAGCAAATAAGGTAGATGATTATTTCTTTTGCTACCTAGAGGAAATTTGGGACTTTACAAAATTCTTGTATGATTATAAAAAAATCTTCACACATCATGATAATTTTTTTCTGGCTTTATTGTCTTTTATTACTTAATCACTAGAAATCTAGTTGTCCATGTTATATACCTACATTCAAAAGTTCTATCAAGATGTTGGTGTTGTCAGAATTCATTGAGTATAATTTTATGCTAGAACTTACATTTTCATGCAGTCGATTTCCCCGATACAGGGAAACTAGATGAATGAATCTTTTTCTTCTTTGTTTTTCTATTGCAGACATTTGGTAATGAAGCTCTTAGCCACGCTAAATGGATCATCCCTATTGCAGTGGCAATGTCTTGTTATGGAGGATTAAACTCATCAATTATTGCAGCTTCAAGGTATGAGACACTAGGAAATGGGTACTAGTAGGCTGATAAGTCAATAGCCAATTCAACAATAAATGTTTCTGTTTCTGTTGTGCAATGTAATGCTGAGCATAAAGAGCTTTTTAAAAAGAAACTTTTAAAACTTTTTAGGAAAAGAAACTGGGTGGATCTTTTCTTGAATTTTCCTCAGGGGAAAGAGTTTTTCAGCAACCTATGAAGGGTAGGAGGCACCACTAGTCAAAAAGCCCAAGAGGAGGCGAGTTCATATCCTCTTTTGGAATTTAATTGAAATCAACATAGGCTGAAAATTACTGGAGAAATTACTGTGAAAATTAAGCATTTCTTATGTGCTCCGCGGTCTACTGAATAAGTGAAAAAGCACCACAATTTTATTAAATTGTCTGTGGAATGATTGATTGATAAACAAACAAACAAACAAATGGCACAGCATATTCTTATTTAGTAAAATTTATTTTGTTATCACTCTTTTTCTCTTAAGAGACTACTCTTCCTCGTTCCTTTTCCTCAAACCATCAGACATCAATATGGTAGCAAAATTCAATCTCATTTTAGGAAAGGCCTGTTACAAGGATCAGGTGCTATATCTTTGATAATTCCATCATCCCCAACAGCCATGCTAGCTGAGACTTGTGGTAGTTGAAGACCAATATATTTGTTGAGGGACACTGGGTTAAGGAGACATAATTTTAAGATACCACAGAAATTTATTATACTATCAGCCCAGAAATTTATGGTAATGTGCGCTTTTAATATCCCCACCATAATGCTTTCTGCTCATTCATTAATTCCTGGAAATGGCTCAAGAAGCAACCATGTATTTTCTTTGAACAAGACAGTAAAAGCTGTTCCTTCTATTAATATAGCTATGAAGCTGAAACTGTTTTTTCTTCCTTCTGGTTCCCTCTAGTGTCCAACTTTTAAAGTTGCTTTGAAATCCTATCTTTAAAAGGATAACAAGAAGGATCCTTATAATTAATTCCAAAATCTTATTTCAACCCAGTGCCCTTTTGAAGGCATCAACCGTTGTTTGAGCAAGTCCTTTGTATCTGACCAGAGAGTGTTGTCTTGCAAATTCTTCACAAGCAGCAACTGTCTGGAGCAATTGTGAGAGGTCTCAAGTCATTCATTTCATTCATTCATTCATTCATTCATTTATTTCGTCAAGCATGTATTAGATAACAGATATAAGTATAAACATAATTATGAATACATGAAATGGATACATATAAAAGGGAACATTAGGACAGGGATGGTAGGCACGCTGATGTGCTTATGCACGCCCCTTAGAGACCTCTTAGGAATGGGGTGAGGTCAACAGTAGACAGTCTAAGGTTAAAATTTTGGGGGTTTGGGGAAGAAACCACAAAGTCAGGTGGTGCATTCCAGGCATTGACCACTCTGTTACTGAAGTCATATTTTCTGCAATCAAGTTTGGCGCGGTTTACCATAAATTTGTATCTATTGTGTGCTTGTGTGTTGTCGTGGTTGAAGCTGAAGTAGTCATTGACAGGTAGGACATTATAGCAGATAATTTTATGTGCTACACTTAGGTCTGACTGAAGATGGCAAAGTTCTAAATTGTCTAATCCCAAAATTTCAAGTCTGGTGGCATAAGGTATTCTGTTGCGAGCAGAGCAGTGGAGGACTCCTCTTGTGAAATATCTCTGGACTCGTTCAATTGTATTAATGTCCGATATGCAGTGCGCAGGGCCGGATTTAGATGAAAAGAGGCCCTAGGCTATTCCACTTATGAGGCCCTTTCACCTATAGTGAAAGTGTAATTTTAATTTTGCTAACAATTTGAATGTAGGCCCCTCTTGATCTTGAGGCCCTAGGCTGAAGCCTAGTTAGCCTATAGGAAAATCCGGCCCTGGCAGTGCGGGTTCCAAACAGATGAGCTGTATTTAAGAATTGGTCTAGCAAAAGTTTTGTATGCCCTGGTTTGCAGTTCAATATTACCGGAGAAGAAGCTACACAAGATCAGGTTAACAACTTTTAATGCTTTTTTGGCAATGTTGTTGCAGTGGACTCTGATACTTAGATCATTTGAGATGAGTACTCCAAGGTCCTTAACAGAGTGAGGATCATCTACAAGGTTGTATCCGCCCAGCTTGTATTTAGTGTTTTGATTTTTATTTTATTTTTTGCCAATATGTAAGACAGAACATTTGTTGGTTGAGGTTTGGAGTTGCCAATTGTTTGATCATTCTGATAGATATTCAAGGTCTTTTTGTAGGGTTTTGTAGGCATTGTCGGTGGTATTGAATAGTTTTATATCATCAGCGAAGAGAACACAGTTGCTTATAATATGATCGTAAAGGTCGTTTACAGGGGTGGGATCTACTTACCTTTACTACCAGTTCACAATGGGATTGCGTGCACTGCATGTCAGCTTCCCAAAGAAGTTCCAATCTATTAGTTTTGATAGTGGCAAATTCATATTTTATTTACACAAAGAATATCTTATCCTGCATTGTGTCTTTGTCTAATTCAGGGAATATGTCTTGCTGGTAATGTATACATAATGTTAACAAACATTTCCATATGATTAATTTCATAATGGAATTACAAAGGGCAGTTTCCTATGGATGGTGTGGAGACTGCATCCATTAGCACTTCACCACAAGGAGCACAGCAGGGGATAAAATGTTGGACTTAATCTATGAAGATCCAGTTCCAAAACTCTAGTCAATAAAAAAAATTTAGGTAACTTTGCACCAATCATTTTTACTCAGTCTAATTCATTAGGCAAAAAATTGTAAAGATGTTCTACTCTGAATTCTCTGAAGAGCAAAATTAAAATTATAAATTATTTTAAATGGGGAGGAAGAGGAGGACGTATCTATGTTATGCTATGATTTACATCAATATTATTGTGAATGTACAGAATTACACACTAATACTTTTTTCCCACTTTTGATAGACTTTTTTATGTTGGCGCTAGAGAAGGACATCTCCCTGATAGCCTGAGCTTAATTCATATAAAATGTTTCACCCCTGTACCTGCTCTTGTTTTTAATGTAAGTAATGATAAAGCATAAGAGAAGAAAGTTTTGCTTATTTTGAAACCTAGATTCATATATTTATTTCATGTGAACTGAGGCAAGCAATTGATTTTCACAAACTGAATATATAGGCATTGTTCAAGCAGTCACAATAGTACCCAGTTCATGTCTGTTTTGAAGGCTGGATTGGATTTAGTGGTCTGTCTTTGAGGTTGTGTAAAAGACCATGTTGCTGATGGTGGCTTTCTCAGGCCACCATCAGCAACAACAAAAATAAAGAAACTTCCCAAATGTAACTATATAGCAGCTGGCTGGGGATTGGGATCACATATTTTCCTTCATTGTCAAGTTCAAGGGCAACTAGCACAACAAGAAGCCTCCAACTGGTGCACTTTATCTGATTAAAGTTGTTAGCAATGGAGAGACTAAATTGGGAAACTGTAAGGCATCAGTTGACACAAATCAGTGATTAAGAATCATTTAGAGCAGGCTGTGAAATTCTGGAAATTGAAGTCTACACATCTTAAAGTTGTGAACTTGGTTGTTGAAAGTTGGAAACACTGATTTAGAGCATACATTTATTTTCCCCCTCTATCTTTACACTTCATTCTTTCTCTTTTATCTCCTGATAGGGTTTAATGACTTTGGTTTATCTCCTTGTGGAAGATGTTTTTCTCCTGATAAATTACTACTGTTTCAGCTATTGGTTCTTTGTCGGACTATCCATTGCAGGATTAATATATTTAAGGCATATTCAGCCAGATAGACCAAGGCCCATTAAAGTAAGTACATAAGGGAATTAAAGTTTAAAATTGCAACCATTAGTATATAGTTCTAATTTTTATATTAAGTCTCTGTGGAGAATTCCATTTATGAAACCACAGACTTTTTGCTTATAGGACCAAAAAAAAAAAAAACCCAGGCTGCAAAAATGCATACATTCACTGGGTGGCAACAAAGAACTAGCATTTTCTGAATGTTTTAACTGTTAAGTAGTCGTGCCTAGATTTTTGCAGTTCTGATATGTAACCCAATTACGAGTCCTTTAGTTTGAGACGCAAACAAAATATTTCTGATATCTACTTTTTATCTGTTAAACTGGCTTCTGGATTAAAGTGAAGATCAGATTGTTCTTGTTACTGATGTTTCCGAGAATTTCAAACCATGCACTAAGAAATATTCTTTGTCATGGGTACAATTATTTTCTTCTGGGATATGAAACACAATTATAGAAAAGCTTACGTGAAATTGTGAGAGTTGTGGTAATGAGAACATTTTTCAGAAGCACTTTCTTTAACTTGGAATTATCTTTTTTTAATTTTCAGCTCAGTCTCTTCTTTCCCATTGTATATTGCATATGCACAGTTTTCCTTGTTATAGTGCCTCTTTATAGTGATACAATCAATTCTGTTATTGGAATTGGCATTGCACTCTCTGGGATTCCTGCTTACATTTTGGGAGTTTATTTACCAGTAGAAAAGAGACCTCGGTATCTTCACTGGCTTTCTGGTAAGAAACTACATAGTTTATTTACAATTTTGCAAATTTATATCATCCATATGCTATATTAAAGATTTAAACAGATGGATGGAGTAATCTTAACATGGATAAAATCACAAGCTATTAACTTATATTTATTTTAACTCTTATCCATCTAATGATAGTGGTATCTCTTTTAGAGAGCAAAATAGTCAGAATGGTAACCTCAACCATGCAGTTGAAGTCCACATGCTTTGACTATCTATCACAATAGCTTTATGTCTAGGGAGATTCTCAATCATCCAGATCATGGTTCTCCCAAAAGTGCTTTTCAAAAGGCAACTGAGCTTCTTACCTTGAAAATATTTTGCTTCTCATCCAAGAATTTTCTTCAGTTTGGGACACAATAGCTTTATGTTTTGACATCTCCAGCCAGACACCCCTGCATGTGGTAGTCAACCTCCAAGGTCCTAGAACCACATACATCCTTCCACACAAAACCTTGTATATAGTTCCTCAGAATAGTTCCATTAAATTATAACTTTTAATGAGACAGAAGAAAAAAAAGAAAGAAAGCTGGGAATAATTTTTTCAACTATATTTGGTTAATTTAACTGTAGCTAAAGTTTAATGTAAATTAGATTGAATAAAATTAAATTTTGGTCTTCATCTTTTGACTTCACCTTGCCCTGTTGTTGTTTTTTTAAATAATGCAATCCTCCTCATTCTATCTCTCCCTTAACTTCCAAAAATTTTTGTATCCCTATCTCATATCAAATGTCAGTAACCAATTTGTTATAAAAAGCAGGTTGCCATGTTAAATGAAGACTTTTACATCATAAGAAATTCCGGTAATGCTGATGTAATTATCATTTTTATAATATGGTGACTTTATTTTTTATCTTGCAGCTACCACTACACAGTGTGTTCAGAAGTTATTCTGTTGCTGTCTGACAGACATGGACCTTGAAACAAAGACAGTGGAAATCAAAGCAAAGTAGACTATTTTGGACAATCACTACATTTACACATCCAAACAGCTGGAAATACTCCTTTGTGCTGTAGAACAAACCAAGAAATGTATGACTGTACTGTGCAACATTTTGCTGTATTTTTTCCCCAGACTATTTTACTTTATCCACCTTTTCTTTGTTATCAATTTAAGGGATTTCTTCATATTCCCATATAATATATATAATATGGATTGATATTTTTTAAAATAAGCAGTCCATTGTATCAAAGCAAAAACTAAGGATTTAGAGTTTCCTAGAAAAATGACATAAATATCAACCAAATAGGAAGGAAAAATTTAAATAATGGCAGGAAGACAAACTAAAGATATCAAATTTCAGGTTCATCCTTGAAAATTCTAAAGCATTCTCTTTTACCAATGGAAGATGTCCAATTTATTTGGTGGATTAATATAATTAGTCTGTATCAGTGGAGTTCATCTTGTGTCACTGAGTCAAATCCATGAAGGGTATCAGTGGAGACACTATATGTCTTTGTACTGGTGCCTAATGTTTAGGCTCAATACTGAAACATGAAATGTTACTGTCACTGTTATACCACAGTGTGCCATTTCTCCTAGCAGATTAATGTATTATGGGGGGAAATATAATTAGTAAAGAACCTTGCTGTTAGCAGCATCTTCAGAAGAGGAATGAGAGCTGTTGACGTATCAGGAGTTCTATTAGTGATTCTGTAAATAACAGTTATGACACCAGTACCAGGCTGTCAGTGAAAACTATGTATGCCACACTATCATATTTTCTTCTAAATCTTCAATTGTCTGTAATATTGTAAAATACTGTATGCATCAATCAACATTTTTATTTTCATTGTCCAAATGTTTTATATATTTTTTTAAAATGCATGCTGTATTAATAGATGACTGTCAAACTTACTTCAGTTTTGAATAAACCTGAGTTTTAAATAACTGTTTGGGTGTCACTGTATACATAAGTGAAGAATCATAATTCTCAGAATTTATGAGTGTATAAAACTTTTTCTGGAACAGAACTAAAATGAATTTAATCCCAAAGATTCCCTATAAAATTCTGCATCTGAAATTCATACAGGGATGTTTGTTCAGCATATGCTAATTTATAAAATATCACATTCTGCTGGACTTAAAATATGCTTTAGTCTTATTTCCTCTAGACAACTAAAATTAAACTTTTTAGATAAACTCATGGAAAATGGTACTGTGATACAGTATTTGTACACCAATTTGTAAAGTGCTATACTTTAATGCAAAATATTTTTCTGGAGAATAAAGAATCTGTGGAGTCTTAGAAAAATATTCAATCCATCTAGATATTTCTTCCTATTAATCTCACAACTTGAAAGGATGTTACTAACAGTGATTAGACAGAGATGAACAACGGTAGGTAATGCTAATATAATCTTTTTGTTCAACCAAACTTAAAAGCATTCATTTTCACCCTTGAAAATATATTTCTGACATTCCTCTTTTCCTCTCTTTTTCTGATCTATTCTTTTCTCTCCTATGGATTAGTACTTCTTTTTCAAATAGGTAAGATGTGCAGCCATTCTTATTGCAAAGTGGTTGAATGATCTTATAGCCAAACTATATATCAGTATTGCACTTAATTATGGCATATCTTTTAATTCATCCTGTCTCTTTTTGGTCCTTGAAGATGTTCTTTACTCACTCAGCTGCACAGGAGTGCAGCCTTATTTGGACTGAAAGAAAAAGGAAGAAAGGAAGAGTGAGATTGACCCAGGATCATTGGTTCTAAATCCTCAAACATAGAATACTGTATGTTGTAACTAGATAAATAAATGTGTTCTTTATCAAATACCAAATATTACACAAAGGGAGAACTCTTAGCATTAGTAATACTGTTGAAAAGTTCATTTGTTGCAAGATTCATATTAAGGTTATAAGAACACTGAGTAATTTTTGAGAAATGGGTGTAATGTTTTCTTTGTAATCAAGGAAAAGTAGCCTTCTGAGAAATGATAAGACCAAAATTGGCAGATAAAACCATATACAGAATGGTCCTATGATAACCAATTTGTCACACATTATATGATGGAACAGAAAAGCTATTTTATTTGCAAGAAAGGGATTTCAGAAAAGGCTTATGTACAAATGTCTATATGTATTTGCACAGTAATATAACTCTGGTTGTATGTTACTACTCTGATAGATCGTTGTTTTTGTGCATAGGTATATCTGTATAAAACTGATTCCCGATTCCCGTTTAGCAGTAATAGTGATTCATGTATTATGTTCAAAAATGGAAATATATCCCTTTGGGGCAGTGGTCGATTGCTACCGGTTCACCCTGGTTTGGGAAAACTGGTAGCAGCAGCAATGGGAGGCTCTGTCCACCTGCCCTGACGTCATCAAATACGCTCTGCGCATGCGTAGAAGCTTCTGTGTAGCGCAGAAGTGGCGCGCGTGCGAGCAAACCAGTAGCAAAGGTAAATGAAACATACCCCTGCCTTGGGGTTATTCTGTGCTAGTGTTGGATATGACTATGAAGACCCAGATTAAAATTTACATTTGGTAATGTTGGGCTATGTCAACCACAGAGGAATATTGCCATAAGAGTAGAATTAGGAATAGGTTGAATGTTGTCTTTCCCCAGGGCAAGGGTAGCTAAGGAGAAGATGCACTTCCTAGGTCCCACTAGATAGTAACATTTAAGGGAAAGAATCAGGATCATGTCCACATCCAACCTGGTAGGGCAGGTATATACCTTCAGGGCAGGTACCCTAGTATATGAGAGCAAACCCACTCCCTTTTAGCACTGATTATGTTACCTAGTTGCAATGTAATGTAATGTCTGCAAGAAAATAATCAAGCTCAGAGAGCATTAAGGACCCCAAAAATGTGTAAGTGCTTACAGATTTTGATGTCTTCTGACTACACTAAACACTTCCAGGTTTTGCAGAGAAAGAACAGGCTCAAATAACTACTTGCCTATAATTATTATATTAGATTTTTATTTTGTATTTTATCTGTGTGTGTGTTTGTGTGTGTAGAGAGAGAGAGATGGAGAGCGCCAAACTGGCACCTAGATTTCAATTGTGGTATGCAGGAACCAGCTTGGTTGCAAGATTGGTAGTTTAACTATATCCATAATTTAGTCTCTCAACAGGACAAAGAGAGCTTTGCACGGTTATGTAGAGTGAACAGTTAATCAGAAATCAATTGTTGGGGAACTGGAACAATGACAAAGTATTAAAACCTCCTTCCCCAACTGCTCCAATCCAAATAATCCCAACAATTGTTTGATCTTTCTACTGTTATTGAATGAAGGCAGCCATGGATGAAGCTAGAAAATGTCTCATCTGTGGTGGAAGGAATTTGTTTATAGAATGAGGGTTCTCAGTTCTACTTTCAGCCCAGACTGTATCATGTAAAGGGCGATTTGTTCGGCTGCTTTTTAAACAATAATAACTGTTCAATAAAACAATTTCGCCATAAGACAAATATGCCATTAGCTTACAGAACATGACCCATCTTCCCTTTGATAGCATTTGTGTTGCTGAGCTTTGATTGTTGACAAAATTGTCCAAATGTAATCTTTAGCCTGAAGGCTGCTCCGTTCAATTCAAAATGGTAAATTAGAGAAGCCTGTCAAAATATCATATAGTAATTATTCTAATGTCCAACCCATGAATTAGTGCAGGATATAAATGGAAGCGCCCAGAAAAGCAGAGATGCCTGGCCACAAAAAGAGGGCACGATATGTAGGAACAAATACTGAATAATATAGACATTCAAAAGATCTCATCGAAATAGGGAAGATAAATCAATGTGCTTGCTGTTCACGGATTCACTACTGATAAACAACTTCACCCTCTTTTCCTTTCCCTTATAGTCTATTTCCTTCAATACGATGTAGAGTGGAAAAGACAAGATGTTTCTCGAGGAGAAGACACTTTCTAACACAGGAATGTCCTTTGACAGATTCCAAATAAGGGGCAGTCACAAACACCTGAATCAAAACAAGCTTTTTTAGGTTATTCAGATATTCATTTGATTAAACTCCAAATACAAATAATCTCATAGATGCAATGATGTTATTAGAGCATTCCTTCTTGGACACCTATCTGCTAAGAGAGAACTTATTCTCCAAATGCCAAAAGAATCCCATTCACATATATGAAGAGTATTACTAGATTTGCAAGGAAAGATGTTTTTTAAAATCATCACCACCAGCACCATCACGATGGCAGTTGTGGTGACAAAAAAAATTGGTTCATGCCCTTGGTTGTAAAATAACATAATAATCAGGAGAGTATCTTGTAAAGAAGCTCTGCCAACTGAATATGAGTATTCTATAATGCAGTTTTCTGTTGCAGAACAAGATACAGCAAGTGGCATATGCAATTTAAAATATTTTTTAAAGGAAATATAATTCACTTTATTTTGCAATAGGAAACAATAGAAAAATAAGCAATTTTTATGGTACATTCATTTGAAATTCTGTTCTTTTAAAACATATGGAAGAAGTTATGGATTGAAATGAATCCCTTTAATTTTTTTTTAAAAAAATAATAATGATTTCAAATACATTGAATCAAATACAATCTAATACATTAGATTTTTGTGTTTTTATTTTTTTAATTTTTTGTATTTGTATGGCGCCCATTTCACAAGAGCATGACTCTGGGTGGCTTAGTTAACAGATTTAGTTTTTAAAGAACATTACACTAGCATGAATTATAAAAAATGGACTGTATATTTAATTGAACACTAACAGTAGATCAGTTTCAAGTTTTTTATATACTTTTGAAATGTTTCCACAAACATTAATACTTTAACTCCTATTGCTTTGTCTTTTGCATTCATTGAGATATAAACATTAACACAGAGGAATTTACTGAACACAGCATAACTGACAGGAATTTGCATGGCAAACTAAAATGTTGCTGTTTGTTTAAAGCATTAGGAAAGACACAATCAGATTCTAAAGCTAATAATCCTTTTGCACATGTGCCAGGAAATTAAACACAGAAGAGATTTTTAGAAGAAAAGATAAACTGTATTATAATGTATAGTGGAACATTTTGTCACTAGACGAGGACTTAAATTCGCATGACTTATTTTATCATTCTAAATATAGTCTGATAAAAGTAGACACATAGGCACAACATATTAGATATTGGATACTTAATTTTCCAAAATCATCGCATACAGGATGACAATTTTCAAATGTCCAAACTCGATAAACAAAACCATAACAATTTAAAAATTTAACTCCGACACTTCTCAGAGTACAGAATGGCATAATCCAAATAGAATGGAAAAATATATCAGCAGATCCAAACTACTATAATCATAATGCATGTTAAATTGAATTACAATTTAACATCTGGAAAGGCCACAACCTGAAGGACAGCTAAAAGCGCTATCATTTCTTATATTGGATTAAATAAATTTAGGACCCAACAATCTTTGTTAATCAAATGTTGAATAATTTCTGCACTAAACACAGCCTATTTTGATTTGTGCTAAGATAAACAATGTCAAAACTACTAAGACCATCCAAAGTTTCAGTATTTAAAATAATTAGATTTCATTCAACGAAATATAATATATAATCTCAAGTATAAGGTATGCAAAACATTAGGTTTTGAACCATTTCAAGTCTATAATTTGAAACAATGTCCTGCTTTGAGCATGAAATTAAAGTGTACTGTAATGTGGGCTGATTCAAACATTTTGGAACTGTCTACTTTGATTTGCCCCCAAAGCAATTTTATTTCCTGCAGTAAAAGCTGCCATTCATGTTTGGACAATGGAAATTTTATCCCCATTTCCTTAAAATAATACACTTGGGATATCCCCATTTTGAGAAATACGGAAAAAGCTTTTTTTTTAACTATGCAATTTGGACTATTGCAATAGTCCAAATATTGAAATATTAAATATACTTAAAGATTCTTAAATTA